TTAGAAACAGAAAGCACAATAAAGTCCTCACAAAGCTGTATTCTTAGCAATGTTAGTAATCCAAATGTACCCAGCCAAAGAAGAGGTTGTATTCCTCACTAGGAATACTAGCAGCTGAGTTCTTGGAACTCAGGTACACCTTGGAAGTATGTGTATCCTTAATAAAATGTGTACAGCTTCTGCCATCTTCATTGAGGACCATATGGAATGCCTGGCAGAATGTGCCCTGACTATAAATGGAAGGTACTAATACATCGGTATAAATCATGTAAAATGTCAAATTGAGGTAACGTAAGTGGTTTTTACAAAGACAAATGCTGTTTTTAGATATGTTTAATGAAAAAATAAGCAACAATTTGGTTTTTCCCACATGTGCATATTTCATGCAGCCTGCCTTTCCAGAACAATGCCTCTCTTGCATTGCAGCCTTAGGCAGTCTGAGAACACCAACTCCTGATCAATTAACGATCCCATATACTTTCTATAAATATGAAGGAAAAAATAGAATCCTAACTTTAAAAGATCAAAATGTCTTGCATTTTTGGGCCAAAGAGAAGTAAGATTGCATATAATTGCTTAGCAATACCAACTGACTATTCTAGGACAGGAAATGCTGAGCATCTTTTCAAGATGCTTTTCACACAGTGGCAGAAAAATTTTAGGTTGCCAATATTTATAAACAATGGTTAGAGCTGTGAAATTTTTAATAATTTTTCTTTTTGTCAGTATAAATGGGGTTTCTGATTGTTAGTATTTCTAAACAGAACACAATGAAGCATGAAGTAGAAGCAAGATACCCCTTGACTAAGATATCTGGATATGTGACAGTGTATATAAGCAAAATGTGAAAGAATCTTTGCCTGTGATCTCTGCAATCAGTGGGGAGACCTAGAAGTCATGTATTCATGAAGAGTGACGAGGCAAAGAATGTCCTTTAAATTATTTTCATTTGCTTTCTGATCTCTAAGCTTGACTCTTTCCTCTTCTTTTGTTGAGATGGATGTTGTTATTCATATGGATGTTGGGATTCTCCTGTATGCATAAAATCACAGTTTTATGAATGTCAAAAAATTCCCTAAATTCATGGATAAACTTATATGAGTTCTTAATATTCTCCATTAGATTGTAAAGATTTAGTCACAAACATATACTTTTATATTTCAATACTATTTTTCCATTATCTTGTTATGAAAAATTTCTTACAAATAACCGAACAAAAAACCTCATGTAATTATGACAGGACTTAATATCAAAATCCATAAAGGTAAAAAAAAAAAAAAAAAAAAAAAAACTATCTTTCATAGCACAAATGTGAGTATTTTAATTCACTTACAGCAAGGCTATATTGCTTCTTTGCCTGGATCTAACTCCTTTATCTGTCCTTGCTCATTTACCATTTCCCCAGTTCCAAGACCACCAACTTGCAAGGAAGCATGTTCCCCCTTGAAGGGACACTATCAAGTACTTTCATACTGATTTTTGTGCTTGTTTTTCCACTTACACTTGCTATTTATTATGTTTTTTAAGCAGAAATACATATTTTTCCTGCATGTTTTTCTCCTTCTGCTTTCTTCCTTCCTGCAGCAATAAGCAACTGTTAGTCTGTACTACCAAAAAATACTTGTTTGAGATCAGTGTCATCACAGCTGCCAGGACAGTTCTGGGAACAGGATTTATTAGCTAACTTGTGCTCCCTCTCCTGGCTGGCTGGCTGGCTCTGCAGCAGCAGAACAAAAATACTGTATATAGTCATGCATAAAACGTAGCTTGCTATATCTTGTTAAGAAAAAAGCCTGACAAGCAGTGATGGATTTAGAAGAAGCGAAAGAATCTGGAAGTTGGAAGGCATTTTCTCCAACAGCTTTTAAAGAAAGAAATGGTTTATACATTAACTGTTTGACAGTATCCCTTTGATTTTTTTCTTTTTATATAAACCCAAAATGCTGAGGCCCTCATACAGAGCAGACCTACTAGAATATTTAATTTATCCTACAGCCTCAGCACAATTGCTGTCCATAATGTATTTGCCAGTGATTACTTTCAAACATCTTTCCCTTAGGAAACCATTTTACAGCTCTGCAAGATCAGTCTATAGTATTATACTGCATAACATCATGTCACTTTATTCCAGTACTGTAACATGTCACAGTAATATGGTGGGATGACAAAATGCAGCCCACAAAATAAACCCACTGGAGTCAAGCATAAGCACGTAGCAATGGGGTTTTTTTATGCAAAAACTTGTCCTTGGCCATCAGAATGGATGTAGATACCTAAATCCTGTTTGTCTAGTCAGATATCTTTGAGGCTATAGAGTCAATCTTTTAAAACTCTTGAAAAATAGGTAATGTAGCACTCAGTAATTACAAGGCTAAAGGGTTTTAAAGAAAACCTCTAATTGCCATGAGGTTTCTCTCACCAGACTATAAATTTTAGTAAGTGAGCAGAGATTTAAATTTCTTGTTAAACTTTGTCATCCAGTGAGCAGGACCTTTTTTAGGAAGGGAGCCTGGGGAAGGCCAGGGCTCCAAGAGTTTCCCTCAGAAAAATATTTTAGGAGTCAGTAGATAAAATACAGAGAGCTGTTCAGTGAGTAGATAAGAGTCCTCTTTTTTCCCCTCTGCTCTCTCCTGGTGAGGCTCAAAAATGTCTCCTCACAGGGTTACATTTTAGGTTCAACAGTCAGTTTAGTCTCTTTCCCTGAGCACAACACTGAGAACATAAGACAGACTTCCTGATTCCTCTGCAGCATTTAATTTTAGGATATATCCTATACTAGGTTTGTCTGATTGATGTCTTTTTGGGGGTGTTTTTTTTAAAACCCAAATTATGGCCTTGAGCAACTCCACAGCCTTTTGGAAACCATAATAAAACTAATAATTTATGACCATCACATCACACCTCTTCAAATGCAGAACCTTCCATAAGAACAGGCACACCAAAACAGACATAAAGACAATATAACAACAATATTGTGAAGATGTAAAGGAGAAATTTTTTCATTGCCACCCACTCCCATTACATCTTTTACATATCATTCCCAAAGCAGGAATACATTTGACATCACCATTTAACCAATTTTCCTACTTAATACCTCCCTAATTCAGAAAACATGCAGTTTAGCTGCAAATTCCCTCCAATAAATATGCCAAAATTATTTGTGGGTTTTTTCAAAGATGCACTGATAAAAAGGGTAGGTTAAATTGTCTTCAAGATCTAAGAAAATTTGTTTGCTGTATGAGTCATAAGATTAAATTTTCCCAACGCTAGTTAGAAATACAATTAGCTAAGAGATGCATTTGATTCCAGAAGGTTCTTAAATTTATCTTAACCAATAAATTCTGTTTCAAAACAAAATTTAATTTTGGGCTATGTCAAGTTTCTATCAAAGTTGTAACTATTTCCCAACTTTCATTAATTTCAAAGCTCTCAGTTGGCAAGGTCCTGTACTGAAAATTATTAGCTTCTGGAAGAACAAAAAATATGGGAGACATGGTATAAATTCTTGAGTGCATTCTTTAATATCAAAAATACTTCTTTTGAGCACACAGTTTTTCATTCTAGAAATGAATTGTGCACTGACTCCATAAAGACAGGATTGAAATAATTAATCCCCTCCCTCTACCTGACAACAGAAAATCACTACTTCCAACATGATTATGATCATATTCTATCAGAAATGTTACCAGCGCTTCAAAAGGCCCCCTCTTACTTAAAGGTGCAGTATTATGGAAAAATTTGATCCTGGGGAAAGCAGGGGAGTTGCACAAACACTGAATTATCTTCAGTGTTTTTCTAGTGGAGAATATACATAAATTCCAATCTGAAAACAGAAGAATTGACTCACTGTCTGTCTAGGCCCAAATACAGAACATAGATTTCCTAAACAGTGTACAAGGTAACACAATGACAGCTTCATAGTAAGATACTATAATGAACAATACTGAAATACTGCTGCAGATATGCAGCATATATTTTGTCTCATGAGCTTACCCGTATGTGATGAGGTGAAGTGGCTAACTTAATATATAAAACCACAGACTCTTATTATTTTATACAAAAGGTTTGCAAATAGAATGAATTTTGGTCCTGTAGAAGAACAAAATTTGATGTATGTGGCATTGAAATGTATTAAGTCAAATTTTTGTCAAAAACAAAACCACTGTAGGAAGAAAAAAGTATGTACCTACAAAACAGCTGTTTCTCATTTTTTCAAAAATCTTTTATGCTCAGCACAAAACCATGAAAACTCCTTTTTTCCCCAAGGGGTAAAAATTTCAGTGTGAAATGCTACCACACATTTATTAACGCAAGTGAAGTGACCTTTCTGTATGTAAAATTCACAACCAATTACAAAAAGAATAGGAAATCTTTAGGGGAAAAACTGATGTAGAAGCTGTCTTCAAAAACACTAAATTAGGCTCATGGTACACCAAATTGAGTGGGTTTGGGGATTTTTTTAAAGAAACCAAAAACCTGAGTTTTGTTTTTAATAATCCCCCATGTTGTATTCTTACTCTCCTCTCTTGTAACACATTGAGATAACTACTAAATAATATTCCTATTCACTGGAGCAGAACAACTAAAGTAGTTGTTGAACTTTGAGACTGACCTAACTATTCTCAGTTAAACACAGCTTCCGCCAGAAATATAACGTATTAGCAAAGTTATTACTAGAAGTTTACATTCTGATTTTCCTGGATAAACAAAATTATTCAATTCCCAAAACTGCAAACATTTAAATTATTCCCCTAGTGAAAGTCAATATTTACATTTCCTAAAATACTGGAGCACATTAGCTTCCTGCATGCAATTTTCTCACCCAGAGATCTAGATAGCATACAAGAACATACCACCAAGATTTTTAATATTGCTTGTAAAAGAGTCTCATATTTAGCTGTTTAGCAGGATTTCTTTCAATGATGTATTTTTGTTTTCTTTGACTGACAAACTTGCATTCACTACCTGTTTCTGCCTGATTGTGTGTCACCGTTACTTACCTGCTGGATGCCGTATGTCCAGCCTTGCCTTATACGGTCCCTTGCCCAAACATTGTGAGCATTCTCTGCTAATTTATCCACCATGGCTTCTTGAGAGGGGGTCAGTTTGATAAAACTCAGATCCATGGGCGCTGGCTTATAGCCACTCAACAGTTGATAGCTGTTGAAAAAAAACAGAACTTGAAGTTACTTTTCTGCAAGAAAAAAAATTTATGAGAAAGAAAAGTAATATCTATGCAACATACCTATATAAATATCTGCCTTTGAACATAAAGAAAAATAATGTAAATTTGATTACTGATTTTTTTTTGATTCTGATTCTGTTTCAAGCTAATTGCATCTGGATGGGATGAAGTAACTGGTAATGAAAGCTACCCAAAATGGTCTGAACTAAAAATGTTTTTAAAGTATTTTAGTAATGCCATATATTCAAAGTAGTAGATTAAGATGATGTTTATCTAAATCCTTATATCAACAATATTATTTCTACCTCTGAGTAGATGCCAATACTTTTTAAATTCTATCTACTTCCTACTGAAATGAGAAAATACATTCTTCCTGTTACATAAAGGGATGGTATGAGACAGAGCAGGTCAAATGGCTTACTCAAGACCAGTTTTGAAATCCACCTTAAAAGCTTGTCTTCATAATAATTCATACCTCGACTATCCTTCAAATCACAGAAGAAAATGTTTAAAATTTAAGCATGACTTCAGAATAGAAAGGCAGCTTCCTCACTTTTTAATGAAGTTATTCCCTTCCAATTAATTATAGAAATCTCCTATTTTACTTATGAGCAAACCTTCAAGAGAGGATGCAAAGCATTAAAGGTCTTTTCCAACCTAAATGATTCTATGATTCTATTTCTTCTCCAGCATACAAAGCACTATTTTGTTTGAAACAAAAGGAGTCTGTGGAAAATAAACAACATTCTCTCATTGAAATTATACACCCTGGGGTGTATAAAGAATGGCAAGTTTAAATAATTGCTCAATTATTTTCTAAACAATTCGGTAATTTTCTTGTATTTTCTTTATTTGTACTAACAGAGAGAAACCCATAAAATTAAACGGTATTTATCCCCTTTTATATCCTAAAATATTCAAATATTTTACCAATCTTAATTAACTTTCTTCTGTGACAACCATTTTAAAACATTTGTCGTAAACAATAATTTGAAACAACCAGGTATTTAAGAGGGATTACCATCTATAAATAAGAGGCTGAATCTTCCTTCAAAATTGCCACAGTAAAAAGAAGTAGTTTAAGTATGAAAACAACAATTCAGGAATATCATTCCAAAATCAGCCATCCAGACAGCTCCCAATCTGCAGGTTTCTATTACAGTAAGCCCCCACAGGAGTTCACTGCCCTCACAGTTACCTCTCATCAGGTATCTGTGAAGTCCCTTCAGTGAGATGAGTAAAACAAGACCATAATGGAAACAGTGAAACTTATGAAATGAGCACACTTGTCAGGTTGGCAATGTCTGTCCTCTTTCCTGTCACGCTCCCCTGAACAAGCTTTTAAGAACAGAGCCACAACGTTTTCCTTTCCTTTTTGTTAGTTTTTTCATTATATATGAGGTACCAAAATTCTGAATTTAGGTTTCTAAAGTTATGATAGTTAATGACATTAAAAAGACTCAACAATATTGGTCTTCTTATATTAGAAAGTACAATTTCTTCAGATTTGAGATTTAGCTGCAGTTTTTCAAAAGCAGGAAATTTGATTCACTTGAACAATCTTGCAAAAGCACATATATTTCTACCCAGGAAATACAGAACAAAAACACAGAAGGCCCTAGATATCTTTTCTTCTTTGAGAGATAAACAGTTATTTTGGGATACTAAAGAACAGTTTGGGGGGAGGGGGGGCGGAATTTAAATTAATACTCTGCTTTTATTCCCATTCATTCTGGCAAAGCCACCACATCAGGGATTCTGAAATTAATCTCAATAGTATATAAATCTGTGCAGTGTGGTAGATATCAAGGACTTGATGGTCCAGGTTCTTACAGCTACCTTATCGTAAAAGTATTACCTAGAAGCCTGCAGGAGTCTTGCCAGAATGAGGCACAGGCTTTTGGCTCACAAAAGGAAGAGAGAAGACGTGCTTTAGTTAAAGGTGCTGGAAGTTATTGCACTGGCCTTAGGGACTGTGTGTAATGCAAAGGTATGGGGCAGTGAAGGATTGCTGTGAATAATGGAGATACGCAATGACAGAGGAACAGCTATTTCTGCACATGCACTTTCTGCAAAGAGCAGTGAGTTGCTACTGGTGGCAGGAACTCAGCAGCCAGCACTTACCATTGCTCTGAGTAATAAGCAAGGAAACTAAATTACTATCTTAAATTCAGGAATAACAGACCATACAGAAGTTCTCTCCTTGTAAAATGGTGGCATTTACCTTTCTGACTTTTTACAAATTATATAATCCTCCTTTATCCCATGGGCTCAAGTGTATGTTGGGCAGTAGGGATGTCAGATCGGCATATGAAACTAAGGCTCCATTATCTCAGCTGTGTCCTAGTTTCCAAATCCTTTATTCCCAAACTCTATGTGTGTACACCAGTGCTAAGAAGCCAGGGCAACTTGGCTGGGCCGTGAAAGCTGGTTTCAGAGCTGTGGTAGTGGAGGCCACTATACCATAGCAGGCTAAGCCCAGTCCTACCAATGCTGCTGCCAAAAGAGCACTTAGAAATGGTCATGGCCATTTGAGAACTTTCAAAATACTCACCTTTAAATATCTGCAGCACAATAAAACACATTGGCAAATTTACTGTAAAAATTCTTTACAAAGTCTCTGTGATGCACATATATATAATAAATAAAAGAAACACATAACAGTGAATGTCAGACATTAAAGCATAGCACAAAAAACCCTAAAATCTGTCTACACATAAGGTGACAAATATATGGAAGAAAAACTGTCTATTATGGTATGTGAAAATATCTGAGAATTCATGCATGCTCATGCATGCCCAAGAACTAATAAACTTAGCAGTGTCAATATTGAATTGTTAAAATAGAATTCACTTAATTCACACTAACAAGACACACTGAACTCCAGCTTACTTCTTTGGAAGTTTCATTTTTTTCACTTTTTCTTCAGCACGTTCATCAGCAATTCCAACATGGCAGCCTAATGCCAGCAGGGTTCTAGGGCACAGAAATCAGAGATTAATTACTAACAGTGTTTCAATATTCAGAGTTACTACTGTTTATAGGCACACCATAGTACCTATATATGGCACTATAAAACAAATGAGACCTATGGAGATAATTACAATATTATATGGAAAGATCAATACCAGTCTTTTTGTATATGTAGCAAGCACAAGATGTTCTAAAAAAGATGAGTTAGATACTTCAAAATGGATCTGTAATATTGTATATTTCATCTATGAGGTATCAGTTTGAAGATTGTCCTTGAAATATTATTTCTGCTTTATATACTTTTTCATTACCGCTTACTCACTCATACTGCTTCATACCCACATCTTTATATGTTTTGTTACTTATATCACAGCTATAAAAAGAAAAAAGGCATAAAATATCACTTATCCTTAGAACGTGTCTTCCTTCTGAGGAAGCCATTATTTAGAAATTTCAGATTTGTTTAGGACACACTACTGAAGAGAGAGCTGCCAGCCGAATGCATGGTAAGCATTAGGCCAAAAGTTCCATCTTACTCAATCTAGACAGTGTGTCTTTTACCCCAGCCATTGTGGCCTGACTCTGCACAGTGCAGCTCATTCCAGAAAACAAACACTATTTACGTAAATTTAAATAGGGTCAACAGTACTAACTGGGTTTCTGATTTCTTCAGACTTCTGGCTTTCCTTATGGCCACACTGTTCAGCAGTATAAATTTTAAGCCTCATCTGTCTCCAGGATTTGACCTGTAAATTATTGATTATTTGTTCCTGCATTTATATTCAGTGTTGGCTTATAGTCTTTCTTTAGTCTAGGTGCATTAATAAAATATTGAAATTAATAGAAATCCTAGATGAAAGCCAGAGACTTAACTTTGGAGTCAGATGAGAATTTTCTCAAAACCTGAGGGTGATAACCATATCTTTGATAGAAACTGATTACAGAAGAAATCACAGGTGTAAATACCTTGGACTCCATTGCAAATTTTCCTGAAGTGGAAGAAAGGTGTCAAACAAGGTTTTTATTTATTCTTGCCACTAACTAAAACAATATTTTCTAGTCTTGCTTTAACTATGTTTACTGTTCTTGAACAGACTGCAAAAAAAATAAAAAAAGATAATACATACTCTCCTAATATTATTTCTCTTGACAGATGAATTTTCTGTTTCATGGAGATTCTTACAGCATAATTTTAGTGCTACGTATATGCAGTAAGTCCTACTGTTATGGACTGTGAACCCTGATTTAAAATCAGACATTAAAATCAGAAACGAGGAAACTAATATCCAGCGGCCCCTTTCTGCAAAATACACTATCTGCTAAGAATACTCCATGCAGCTAAATTTCAGCTTGTATTAACAGTACATTATTCCTATGCAGCTATCACCAGCATAAGTAGGAGAACATATCATAACAGTGAAATAACGTACAGAGGAGCTAACCTCTGGTAACCCTAATTCTCTTGTCATGTAAGCCAGGAATTATCTCTACCCAAACAAAACAAATTCAAATAAGAGTGCCACAGGAGGATAAAATGACAGACTCTACTTTCAGAATCTGAAATATTATTAAAGCACTTCAAACCTGAGCAAGAACACTAAAAGTGGCTGAATGTAGCTCTCATCATCACAATGACAGATGTAATTATTACACAAGTCTGAGTAAATACACAGAAATGGGAAAGTCAGTCACAAAATAATAAGGACAACCAAAAAAAAATATGCAAGACTGAACTATGAAACATACATATAAGCATGTGCAGAAACTGTATGAGCAAGCATATTTTAATCCCATGACATTTTCAGAGGCAACTCATTTCTGCATCCTGACATTTCCTACAGTATGTAATCTTTATAGATCATAAAAATATTCAATCACATTTAAAAATATACAAAGGTCCCAGTATATGGAAAAGAAATGTTGTATCAAATAGTACGACTTAGATCTTCCCCAGTTTCTAACTCTCCCATCTGTCAGCAAAACTGCAACAAACCACAAAGGAAAACACAAAACCAGTCAGCATTATTCTCTTTGTCCTGCAATTATTTCAAGTATGCAGTTTCATGCAAATTGTAAAGAAAATTATTAAAAGTTTTAAAATAATATTTTCTTTCTCCCTTCCCTTTTTTCCCCATCAAGGTTGACAGCTAGTAGACTAGACACATCTAGTAAAGAAATAGTCAAGACACGTTACAATTCAAGTCATCATCAATGGATCACCTAGAATTCATTAGTGCACTAATTTTTCCACATTTTCAAGCATTTAGAAACAAACTGAGCAAAATGCTCTTAGTCCCTGCACAACAGATACCTACATGATAAATGCAACTCAATGCTACAAAATTAGAACTTAATTTATCAGAAAACAAGGACTAATACAAGGAAGTATGGAAGACTTAATTCAGCAAGCATACAAATTTTGAAACACACAGAAGAACTGAATGCTTTATATTTTGGATATTATCCACTTAATGGAACGACTCTATCTTGAGTAAGCTATAAAATTAATTTTAAAAATAGAGTAATCCATAACTTGTATGTTTATAAAACAGAAACTTAGGGGGTTTTTTTACAGAGTTAGATTAGAAAAGCACTGGATACTGTAATCATGTACAGACTCATTAAATTAGTTCAATACTTCGTGAAACGTTAGAAGCATGCATTTAATTATGAGAGCATGATTTTTCTGCTGCCTGAGCCATATTATATAGAGTATTCTAGGAGAAGATCCGACTGTAGTGAAAGTTAATGACATCATCTTTTGTAGTTTCATAAAATGGAAAGGAAGAATGTATTCTGAATTTTTAGCACGTTGTTCTGCTGACAGGAAACGCTCAAAAACTCTCCTTGTAATTCTAATACCTATCCAAAGAAAATTTGAACTTATTTTCTTCCTTCCAGTTCAATTTCTCTCTGAATTCTTTACCTGTAAATAATGACAAAATATCCCTCCAGAAACTGTTTAGCACTTAGAGTCATAAATATGACTTAGGGTCATAAATATGACCCTAAGTACTCCATTTTTCACTGAGTGATTTATTTACTGTGGGAACATTAGATCAGTAAATAAATTGAGCAGAGAAGCTGGCCTGAAAAGAAATCTGCAAAAAGTTCCAGAAGGAGTGTTCTACATGTCTTTTCACTATGAGGACATAAGATCTTTTTATTCTGAGTATAAACACTATACTGCACTATCAGTTTGCCTGGCAAAGATTTTAATAGTTTAGGACAAATATTCACAGAAAAGTAGTATCACGTGTGGACATTCATCCTTTGTAAAATGGATGTATTTTTCCTCTGATTAGGAAAAAGCGACTACATCCTAACAAAAAAAAAAAAAAAAAAAAAAAGAAAGAATAGATTTCAAGTATGAGTGTATGAGTGACTGGAGAACCACATCTATCATCAAGCATTTATCAGTTTGAGAAATATTTTTACATGTTGGCTACATGCAATGCTATACATGGGGGAAATGACTTACACTAATAGATTTTTCAGATAAATCACAGCAAAGTAAGAACTCACAACTCTTTGACTGACAAAGTTGAGATGAGGAATTAATTGAATCTTTGTAAATCAGAAAACTGGATTTCTTCAAAAAACCCTTTAATGTCCCATTGAAATTTTCTAGCATTCCAACTGGCTTTGCACATCTAACAGCTCATCCAGAAAAGGAGAGAATGCCTACTACTGCAGCACTTTTTTTTTCAAAGCTTGTATCTATTTCTTTCCTCCTAGATGAAAACTCTCTGACTTGTCATTTCATAATCAGTATTACCACAATAATTCTAAAAAGAATATTCAAATAATTTTCAGCACCAAATACATAATTCATTAACATATCTTACTCCCTCATTTGTATATTATTACCCTCACCTACACATCAAATTTTAATTCACATGTCGATTTATAATTCTGGAAACTGGATCTCCTTATGAAACTCTAACTATAAACTTCAAAAGTCCTAGCAACTTACTTCAGTGTTTCAAGCGACATTTGCAAGTTATAATTTCTTTCCTGCTCCGGCAATTTCGAGAACTCCACTAAGCACGGGTGTTGTCTTTTGTTGTCGTCTCTAACCTGAGAAAACAGTAAAAAATTAAGCTTAGTATGCCTCGAAAATTAAAGAACTTTAAAACCAGTCAAATCCACATGGTACTTAAAGCTGATCCTGTTAAGAGTTACTCAAACTGGACAATACTTCAAAACAGAAACTATTCTGTATTCTCAGAGCATGATCATTGTGTTCAAGCAAGGCAGAATTTGCATTTGCAAGAAACTTCAGATTTGCATATCTCAAGTGGAATAAATGCTAATTTGTACATGCTATTATACAGATTATACAGATGTTATACAGACGTTCATAGGAAATATGCAAAGTTCAAGAACAGTGCAATCTATATTGTTTTAACATACAGCCATAAAGTACCATCTCATCTTCAGCCCCATGTTTTAAAAATTCTACAATCAGTTTGTATAAATATATTGATACAGATAGTATTGAAATCCTTACCCAATGAAAATAACAATATAAAAGAAATCTTTCCCATCTCTTAATTCCAAAAATGTTTGCTTCTAACTTATTTCCAGTACCATAGAAGAAGAATGTGACTGCTAGGAAGTCATAAATGAGTGGAAAATGAATCTACTTTAAGTGTAGTGATAGGAGAGCCATACAGACTATAATTTAAAAAATCCTACATTTTATAAACTTACAAATTTGTTCCAAAACATTTTTAACCTTCTCTATTTCTACGCAGTTTTAATCTAACACTGGCCATAACCAAAAAAGGCAACCTCAGAGGCAGTGATAACCAAGCACTCTTTAGCTCTCAACTTTGCATCTCATGCTAGAGTTCAGCCAACAACATCTACAAAGGCTTGATAAAATACATTAGTTTGAAATTATTACCCAAAAGATCCCAATGCAACTGTTAACATCTGCACAGTAACATTTTCATGTCAAACTATGATGGACCATAAATCCATCATTTACATTAACCTTTAATGCTGCAAAGTGCAAGTTATTGAAAAAATAAAATTATTGCTTTTTAATCAACCAGATAATTCTGCTTGAAAACTGAATGTTAACAGTTGAAGTTAAGAAACCTGATTGTTAAAATTTTTAAAAATTGATATTTACACTACTACTTAATCTACTTTTATGTAATGAAAAAAATCACATTTCTCAATAACATTTCTGAGAAACATAGTTTTTGCATTTTGATAGAAGCACATAATTCTCAAATTGAATAGTAGTCATTTATGTTTTAGACTGAAATATTTTTACAGTCTCAAATCTTGATTTGATGGGATTAATGCCCTTTGGATGGACAATACAGGCAATTCAACTGTCAAACTACTTATAAAACTTAATAGAATATAAAATGTGAACTATCTTTCAGTAGCACTGAAAATATTTACTTACAGATTCCTAAGATGTACAGTAATCTGTATTAAAAAAAACAACTTGAGTATAGTCTCTGAGTTTAGATCTGTGTACAGCTAATTTGTCTTGGATGTCAGGTTTTTTCCTCAGGAATCCAAATGAATTTATTTCCCCTAGTGACACTATTTCTGCTCTACAATTACAATGTATAATAATTCTATTACAAAGCCTTACTTTGTGGTTACCTTCCCATTTCCTGTTTTTTTCTGAGCACAAAACAAATATCTGCTGCCTTGCAAACACATTATATTACTGGCAGAACTCATGATACACATAAATTTTTAATTTTTGTGGCTGGTTTTAAATGCACAGTGGCATTGAACAGAAACAAAGATATGCAGATGTGTCTGATTACTTCTATCCCATACATATTCAGACTTAAAATTAAGTCAATTAATAAAGTCCACAACTTTTCTATATTAGCTTGCTATTTAATTTGTTACATGCATAGAATGCAGTAGTAATATGACATGCAATAGTGGGTATCACTTTGGTGATACCACATGCAGATCTGATGATGCAGATATTTAGGAGGAATATAAAATGCTACAGCAGGTATTTTTAATAATAGAATCATGTAAGATAATAAGAGAATCATGTAAGAAGTCTCTCTATTAGCCTTTAAACTTTTAGGCTATTTGAAAAACCACACTGGCTACTACATACAATACATCTTGCTCTGAACTAAAAAGACAAAATCCAGTATTAGAGGACTTGTGTGTGTCCAAACAAGCTAAATTCTGTGCCATGCAGTTTCTTCCCCCACTACTCAGTAACTGCAGTGCATGTTGCAGTTTTGAATTGAAGAATTCAAAAAAATTGAAGAATTGGCAACAGTGCCTTAAATGCAGATGATACAAAGCCGGGAGGAACTGTTGACCCCTGGAAGGCAGGGAGGTCCTGCAGAGAGACCTGGATAAGTTACAGGCCTGGGAAATCACCAACCCTATGAAAAATCTACAAGGGAGTGCTGGATTCTGCACCTGGGATGGGGCAACCCTGGATGTATGGATAGACTGGGGAATGAGAGGCTGGAGAGCAGCTCCATGGAAAGGGACCTGGGGATCCTGTTTGGGGCTAATTAAACATGAGCCAGCAGTGCCCTGGCAGCCAGGAGGAGCAACCCTGTCCTGGGGGGCATCAGGCACAGCACAGCCAGCTGGGCAAGGGAGGGATTGTCCTGCTCTGCTCTGAGCTGGGGCAGCCTCACCTCGAGTGCTGGGGGCAGTTTTGGGTACCACAATATAAGACATTGAACTGTTCAAGAGTGTCCAAAGGAGGGCAATGAAGATGGTGAAGGGCCTTGGGAGGAAGCCATGTGAGGAGCTGCTGAGGTCACTTGGTCTGTCCAGCCTGGAGGAGACCAAGGGCAGACCTCAGTGCAGTTACAGCTTCCTCCTGAGGGGAAGTGGAAGGTCAAACACTGATCTCTGCTCTGCGGTGACCAGGGACAGGACCTGAAGGAACGGCCTGAAGTTGTGTCAGGGGAGGTTTAGGTGAGGTATTAGAAAAAAAAATTCTTCACCCAGAGGGTGGCTGGGCACTGGAACAGGCTCCCCAGGGAAGTGGTCACAGCACCAAGCCTGATAGACCTAAGGAAGTTTTTGGACAACCTGGACACAGAGTATGACTCTTGGTAATGGTGCTCTGCAGGGCCATGAGATGGACTTGATGATCCTTGTGGGTTACTTCCAATTCAGCTTACTCTATGATTCTGTGAAACTGATAAAATCATTTGTGAGGAACCAGTGTGATTAAGAAGTCAACCTCCAGAAAATGATCAGCATATACTCTGTCAGGATCCCAAAGAGAGCACACCCTACCACAGTGGATTAAAACAAGGTAATTTGAAAGATTTAAGACTGATTTTCATTTTGAACATAACTAACTTTATCACTGCTTAACTTGATACTTACCATGTATGGTTTAAATAGTGTTCAACTGTACAATTAGACTCTCGATATGTAATGGTACACTAGGAGTTCCTGCAGATTGCTTCACAGCTGGTATGATTACACCACAATTAAAATGTTTTGACACATTAATTTTACTGAGGTTTTGCATTTGATTTGGTGGGGAAATTAACAACAACAAAAGCTAGAGATCTTTTCTATTAATCATATATTTTTAAGTACTGTTGTATGCTACACCGAATAAATAACTATGCAGTTAGCTTAAATCTGTAACCTGAATTCCTCAGAAGACCAATATCTTTTTAGTAACAAAAATAGAATACATATACATTTTTACACTTATATCTAGTACCTATTGCATGTAGGTATACTCTCCACAGCAATATTTCTTCATAAAACAGATGCAGTATTTCTTCATAAAACAGCATTTGGGAAACAAATAACCAGCATAATAACATGTAATAAAAACATAATTTTTTACTGATTAACTTTAAAAAGAAAATTCTTTTCTTACTCCATGAAAAGCAGGAAAGAGATAAGAAAATAGTTATGTAGAGCACCTAATACAGACATGAGACTAAAGAAGTGGAGGAAAGGAAAGGAAAAATCAGATTTAATGGAATTTCCTACAGGCAATACATATTTGGGACTCCTAAGAGATTAATGTCGAAGATGTTCTCATGTAAAGAGAACCAAGAATAACTGTTTTCATTGGCTTACTCCACCAGCCAGTTGAACATCTTGCTCCAAGAACAAATAGGAGAAAAACTCACTATGTGTTTTCTGTGCTGACAGTTAGACTGAAAATTTCAGCACCAAATAGCTTTAATACCGGAATTTTTGTTCAGAAATGCCCAAGTGCTGTTGTTTTCCGCATGCTTTCAGTGGGAAGGTGTTTAAAACCTTACTAATTTTGGAGGGATGATGAAAAAAGCAGTCCCATTAGTACACTGAAACCAAAGTGCTGAATCATACTATGCAATTAACAGAAAATGAAGTTGGAAGGTACGTACTGGTCCATACTGCCAGCCAAGTTCAATCTTATTCATAACCCAAAGTTCATGGATGTTCTCTGCTAATTTTTCTCTTATTCTTTCCAGGTGAGGTGGCAAAACAATCTAAAGAGAGAAGAGATAAGAGAGGAAGAGGCTATTACAAATAAGTTGCTTGACATGCCACCCAAACTTTTGTAATAGACAAACTCTGTCAAACCAGATCTCTCAATAAATCCCAAGAAAAAAACAAGTTTGGGAAAAGGTGCAAATTCAACCAAATGAAGCAAAATAGTCATGTAATATGTGTGTGTTTAAAAAGAAAAATTCAATCTTCCCATTTCCACACCTGGCTAGTATCTACAGGGACTGGAGTGAAAGCTGCTTGTGACAGAGAGACAGTGGGACCCAGTAGGTCTCTTGTGTAGCTGCGATCCTGTTTGTACTCTCGGCTGTGCTCCACTTTCAGCTTCTCTTTTGGTAGGACGGCTTCAAAGCATGGAGCATATCCAGGTGGAGGAAGGAACTTGAACTCTCCATGGCGACCACCAAGCAAGAAACGAACCCTGTAAACATCAGAATTACTTTAGATAACCAAGACACCTCTAGTGGAAAGCCTAATCAGTCTCTAAGCTTAAAGAATATTAAATGTTATTTTAAAAGGAAAAGGAAAAAAAAAGGCGGGGGGGGAATGTCAGTGTTGCAGCTTCTTTTAATTGTCTACAGTTCAATTTTCTCTAACTGTTGCTGGAGTTTATGATGTAGGAGGTCGAAAAAACATGGGTAAAGTAAACTATTCTTTTTTCTAGTTAAATTTTATTTCACTGAAGACTTTTTAAATCAAGAGACCAATAATCTCTGAGAGAGAGAATAATCAGTTTACTCAGCACACCTATAAAGTAAGCAGCAGCTTTTTGAGTCTCTGAAGGCAGAGATTAAAACCCAGAGTAATCAATCAGGCACTTCTCTCCACTGAGGAGGCTTCCATTCAATCTCATTTGAGAAACGAACCTAAAACCCCGTGATTCCTTCTTTTTGCTCACAAAACACTATATCCTTCAGATACACTACAAAAACTCCTAAATTTCCTTCCCTAAAATTTTATTTGTCATATTAATAGAAACCCAGGGGAAAGCACTCTTTAACTCATGACAAAATGGTAAATGTGTCATGGCCTTTTATTACTGAATAATTAAATCAGTGAGGTAACAATGGTGTAGCAATGATGTAATACCAACTTTACACAGTAATGACATAATAGTGAAGTCTCCCTAGAACACGGTCATCCAGAAGGAATGAAAAAACACCAAAAAAACTAGCCTTAAACCCAAAGAATTTTTTCTCTTTTCTGTTTACTGAGTATCTTACAAGATTTTTTTTAATGCTATACCAGTGCACACTCAAAAACTTCATGCAGCACACAAATAATATCTATCAATAATTTATCTAATAACAGAAATAAAGCATGCAGGTTTATAAATTTGTATTTTGTAGCATGCAGATCTACAATTTTACTACATTTTATCTCCTTTGCTATCAAAAGCGAAGTCAAAAGGAGTGTATTTCGCATCTGGAATAAGAGGGATGGGATGGGATGGGATGCTCTGTGTGACACCTCTTAGCTTCTGTGTTATTCTTTGAATGATCCCCCAGAGAGCATTGCTCTGCCTCCAACAGAAATCAGCTTTCAGCCTTCACCTTTTCCAGTCCTGTTAAAGTTGGTCTCCCCACTGGAACACCACACAATCTTTTTTAATATTTTTAATATTACAGTCTCAGACTGCTCAATACATGGAAGCAGATGTTTGGCTCCTCAAGTGTGACTTGAATTATATAGAAAACCAATGGAACAACCAGAATACAGATTGAATTCTCATTAACTCATGCTGAAGAAAAGGAAGTGTATGACCACCATTTCTTAAGGTAAGTGCAGATAATGTCTCCTTAAATAATAGTTATTACCTCATAACAGGTGAGTTAGGGAAAATATATTTTAATATCAAAGGCTGATGCAAAATTCTGCCTTGGAGTTAATGTGTAGCAATGTGGCAGCAAAGAAATTATTAAGAAGCTGTTTCTAAGATATGTCTGCAAACCAGTAGAATACACTGGTGTGCTGAAAAACAGCAGATGCACTGTGTCTTCATGACTTCTTTGTAGCTCTCACTATCCAAGAACTGAAACTTTGCCAAAAAAGCAGATGTCAGAAAGAGAAATGAGAGCAGATAGACAGGGATATATTCAGCATATTCATCTATACAGAAAAAAAAAAAAAGAAAAAAAAAAAAGAACAAAGCAGACTTGGGATGAAAAAAAAACCAACAACAACTCCATGGGATGCTGACTTTATTCCTGCAGAGAAGCTGACAACTGGGAAGAAGAGGCCATCTATGTTGAAGTTTTCAAACATTCCTTGAACTGGCTGACCATTTATTCGGAAGGAGATGCTGGGGGCACTCAGGTCCAAACAGCAGCTAATAACATCATCAGTTCTTAAGAGATGTTGGTTGGGAGAATTTACTGTTCGTGCTACACAACCTATGGAAGTAACAGAGATACATTTAGTAAAACTTATGAAAACTGCACTGGTTTTCACAGCAGCCTAAAAAGAGAAAAACATCACTACAGAGTACAAACACATTAATATACAAACATCTAACCTATGACATCCCAGACCTGATTTTAAGCTTGCAATATAGTGAATAGCAGCATACAGTCATATCAACACAACTACTTCAGACATAAATAATAAAACTCAATTACATTTAATGTGAGAATAATTACTGATATCCATATAAACAGTCAAAACTGAGAAAGCAACATTTTATTCCTTACATTACAGAGCTGCTAGTATCTAATATTAAACCTAGTATACTTTTCTAAAGAATGATTCATTATTTAGACAAAGAAAACCATCTCACTTTGAATTATTTATGGAAAATTAGGTACTCCCTGTTAATGTCCACATCATGGTACTCTTCCAAACTTGCATGAGATTATACTATTTGGTTTCATATTTAAACTGCAATCCAGAATTTTTCAGCAATATACAAAGACAGCTTCATTTTTAAAGCATATATATTCAGTAGTATATATATTTTAATCAGTTTTTATGAATTCTAAAAGATTATTCTATCTCACATCAAATTCCATTTACACAAGCACATCTGCTTCCCAAAAGAAACAAGCTATAGAAGTCAGAAATAGAAAGTGATTGTGTCAGAAATTTACTGCCATCTACAGTACAAAATTTTTGGAAAACCACAGAAACTGTTTGAAAACATGTCTACTCATGTTTTCCAAAAATAACTTATGCACTGTCTGCAAAAGATACACCATGATACATACTAAGAACAGAGCACTAATTTTTTAACTAGGGCATCCAACTTCTGTAAACATGGAAGACTTAACTAGCACTACATTTCCAGGAAGCAGCTGATGACATATGGTTTAACAGAAGCAAAAATAATAAAACCGCAGTAATTTTTCTACAAGTGAATTTTCATGCACATATCTCCCCAATGCCTGAGGAAAAATAATATACCAACACTTCCAAAACTCTGTATGTGAAAAATGACTTTGTGATACTGCCAGATCAAAATATCACAGCTGAGAATTAGTATAAAATAAATCACAGAAAGGGACAATTATTTAATGGCAGGGATAACTAAACTCTAAAAGAGCTACCAGAGAAGAGTGGTTATTTCATCCACTTAAAGAATACAACGTAAGACCAGATGTCTTTTTAGACACTAAAATTTAGGCAACTATAGGTCATGGAGATCAGTACAAGACTGACTGCTAACAGAAATATGTATTGGTCATTGAACACACAGCAGATCAAATTATCTAAATGCCTTTTCTGGCCCTAGTCCTTAAGGATCTGTGAGTTCCACTTCTCCACAAAAGGTCATTTCAGGACTGGAGAACCAAAAGTAAATTATATATGATTCTCATACAGGCTTGGTCCAGAACAGAAACTTGGGGGCAGAAATTGTTGTGGTTATTCATTAATACAGTAAATGTTTCATGCTAAGAAGGTTATTCTTAAAATGCCATTGCATATTCTTAATATGCAGCCTGGGACTGTGGAAGCAAAAGAAAGGCCATGATTTTCAATATGCAACAACTTAAAGTTCTTCCATGTTTGAGAGGTACACATGTGTTACACAATTATATTAGTGAAGAAAGACCACAAAAATATTTTCAAATTTACCAGCCGCATCCACTACAGACAGAAAAATTTGCAGATGCAAATGTGGTCTGACTTGGTTTTTTTCAGCAGGAATACTGAGTTGAGAACCACAAACAAGTGTTCATTTTTTCTGTTGTTACATTTCTGACTGAAAAGTTTGTAGTGGGAAGAAGAGTAATTTTGACTTTCAGTAATCTTTTGTTTCCTCCCTAAAAGTGACCTTAAGTACAAAAGTTATCTTGGTTAGCTCATTGTTTTCTGGGTCTTCTGTAATAATACCTTTTCTGTCAAACTCAGTAACAACACTTGGAATGATACCATTAATTATGCATCACTGTTCCAAAATAACTCTCACTATACAAAAAGGCTAAGTAGCATCTTCTTCCCTAAGATGCTGCTCCAGTTGATATGCTATTATTTATTAATAAAATCCATTGCTATTTTGAAATGTAAAACTGCATTCTTTTCCAAGTGTCAAGTCAGAATAACTCAAAACTGCAAAAAACTTTGGAGGATGCAGCTGACTCACTAAATCATCTCTCTTGTCTACTAAGGTGCTTTAGAAAACCTGGTCATATCTTTATAGTGGAAAGAACTGCCAATCCAATGAGCCTTGCAATAGTCAGTCTTAATGTATGCAAATAAAATATCATTACATAAAAAATATTTTGTTTTAAATGTATGGCAAAAAACATATTTAAAAATCTTCTTCACCTCTAAAGTATCTCTGAACTTCTGAAGAACCATATAAAAATCTGGCTTGAAAAAAAACCAAACCAAAAATCAAGTGTCCTGTTACTTAAATCTCTCAGACTGTTCTTACACTACCACATCGGAATTATAAATCTAGATGACTGTTATACTTCAATTATTGCAGCTTTAAAGTCTTAAATAGAATTTTTATAGTTACCATGAACACACAGTCTGCCTACCCACCCACCCCACAAAATCCCAGGCTGAAATGCAAATTATTAGTCTACCTGCATTACTTCATACAAACCAATTTTTTTAAAATACACAATGACAGTTTAAATCATATTCTGATACAGGGTACTGTTTCTGTATGTTCCAAGTGTCAACTGAAATAACTAATTCACTTTGCTGTTGTTGAAACCAAATTCACTGGGATTGCAAACACAATTATAATGCTTAAACAAAAATAAACAACAACCACAAAGTACCCAAGAGAATACCTGACCACAGATGTAGCCCATCAAAGCCATAGGAATATAAGTCATCACCAACACCGTTTCCTCCCCACTCTGCTCCTCCTCCTGGGTAGGGTGAGTAGCCTTCTGTTGAAGCCCAGCCCACGCGTAGATGAGTTGATTCTGCAGTCACAAAGGGCTCTAGATGGTCCACCATAAGTTCATAGTACCATTTTCTGTATTGGGCTGAGCCTTCACTAATCCCCAAGAAGATGTTGGGTCGCATGCTTAAACAGAAAGAATAAAAGTAGTTATTAAAATCTTATCTCAAGGACAAGATGAACTGCTCCATACTTTTCATTGACTCAAATTTCAAGCTTGTTTTGTGTGATTGAAACAATAGAATTAATTTTACTTCATGGAATCACACAGATTACCAGATTGGAAAAGACTGCAAGGATCATCTGGTGCAACCTCTCTTGACAAAAGCACAGTCAGGACAAAGATGGTCCAGCACACTGTCCTGCTAAATCTTGTAAGTGTCCAGTGTTGGGTAATCCACCATTTCCCCATCAAGATTATTCCAATGATTGATTCTTCTCATTATGAAAAATGTTACTGTTTTCTCCAAGCAGAATCTCCCCAGCAGATACTTGTACCCATTACCCTTTGGCTTTTCCATGTGACTCCCAGATGCACCTGATCCTCTAACTGGAAAAATGGAACAAAGGGGCAGCTTCATCTCCATTACTTTTCACTTCCACTCCCAAAGCTTTATGGTCTTTCTTGATTCTATCCAGGTTTCAGCTTGCTGCACCATTTATGCCCCCATGAGAAGAGCAACAATGGATAGCAATCTGTGCTCTGGACAAGTTGAGGCACCCTCTAGGCAACATCTCAGACCTTAGCTCCCAGAAGGCAGCATATTTAGTTATTTATTCATCCATTTATTCTGGTAAAAAATGGCCTATACATTTAAAGTAAAAAAAATGTTTGCTTTAGAAACTGAAACAGTATCCTCACTCAGATGCCAATAGCAATTGATTTATGTGTTTCAACAATTAGTAGATGATAAATCCTGCAAAAAAATCACAGCTATTCACCAGTTACCAACGTAAGTGTAGTAAGTACACATTTCAGGTTTAATTTTACATAGCAAACTGCATTCTGTAACACTAATTATCCATTCAAAAGAATAGCATTTTAAAAGATACAAAAATGAAGAGTCATTCTATTTCAAAATTCTCTTGTACCTCTTCCTTCTTTTGTTCCAAGTCCTGAATAAGTCAGTAATTTGCAGTGGTTGTAGAAATCCTTAATATCAGTGTGATGTTCCTACTGCTACTGGTTTTACTGTACTTCACAACACTTCTTACAAAAGGCGAGCTACTACTGTGCTTATTCAGTATCTAGTTGAAGAGCAATATACAGAGTCATATCTAAAGGTCATGAGGGGGAGAAAAAAAAGGAAAAAAAAACTAGGCTTGTCTGTGGATGCTAGCTCTGGAGCAGGCAGCAGAGTGCCTGTGGAATTGCAGGCCACATAGCTTTCTCAAGTCCTGCCTGAGAAAGTGGCCTGGGAAGTTTTAAGGAGGATTTAAAACAATCCTCAAAGACAGAAAACAGCCTTGCAGGTCTTGTTTCTCTGTCTCTTGTTTTCTTTGCAGAAGAAGGTCGAGGTGATGTGTGCCCTGCTGACCAATGATGGTAATGTAGTAGTTTACTAACAAATAAGAGTTTTCTTTCTGTACTTTCCACGTATCAGTCTATAAAACAGACCTGAAGTAATAAACTAGGAGAAAATTCTCCTAATCGACTCCATGAGAGTCTGTGTCGTTCAATCTCGCCATTCCTAATAGAGCGACACTTGTCTAATATGATTTTGGAGATAATATTGAACATAGATTCTCATCCCAAAAAAATCTGTCTCCAGACAGTCGTTTCTGTGTCAGCTTTGTACTAAGGAAGACATTCAGTCTTAAATTAAAGCCATAGAGAACAGAAGTATGCAAAATCAATACTAGCTATATTTCTTCACTGGTTGGTTACCCATATTGCAAAAAATCTTTTAAACTTCTAGACTGAGTGTATGTAGCCTTCACATTTCTCCACTAGATTGGGTTATTACTTGTATAAATATTTTCTTTTTCCATTCAGGCTGACTATTCAACAAAAATGGATCCTTGAGCTAGTCCCAGTACGCTCTCTGGTAGAGGGAATGCAGGGAGAAGAAGAAGGGCTGGTATGGATAGGTGGTTAAATACAAGTCAGTGTAAAAGCAGGCTTTACTGATCTAGATGCTTATAAAATAACAAGTTTTATCGGGTAAGTCCAATAAACTTTCCTTCTAGAAGCATATGTGTTGTCTTTTGCCAAATGCTTAAGTATAGATACTATTCACATTGTTCCAAGTCAAAAATTTAATGTCCTTAAAACAAAATGTGTTTGAAAATAACTATCTTCCAGAAAATTTATATTATTCATAAATTATTAGCAAGATCACCAATTGAATATTTTCTGCCTGAACACAGAACCTGACTATGCTTTTATCCAGAATTCACAATCTAATCAATCTAATCAGCCAAATTCCTCTTGTTCAAAAGAAGTTTGTGAATAGAATTTTCCAGTTCCCTGAAAAAGTATGTTAAAAAGCAGTATCTTAGAAAATTCCAGTAACACCTTAGATAGTCTTTTTGCCAAATATTTTTGGATCAAGGTATATATGCCTTAGTCTAACACTAAATTTCTTCAATGATTCCTTGGTCTTACTGACTTTTTAAAAAATATTTTTTTTCCTTACAACTGCAAGAATAAAAATCTTCTCATTCACAGTTTTCTAAAGCAAAGCAAAAATATAGAATAACTTATTTGCTTTTTCTCCCAACTTATTTGGGAAAGACAAGTCTTCGTTCCTTGTATAAGATCCAAAGTCATCCCAGAAGCTCAATCATGAACTGCAGAATCATTGAGGCTGGAAAAGACCTCATCAAATCAAACCATTTAATCAAGTATCTTCATGACAACGAAACCACAGCACTAGGTGCCCTGTCCTGTCATTTCTTGAACACATCCAGGGATGATGACTCCACCACTTCCCTGGGCAGCCTGTTCCGATGCTTAACCACACTTTTCATGAAAAAAATTACTCCTGATGTCCAATATGAACTTCTCCTAGCGCAGCTCGAGGCTCTGTCCTCTTGCCCTGTCACTGGTTGCTTGGGAGAAGTCCAAGAAGCCAGAAGAAACTGGCTACAGCCTCCTTTCAGGGATTTGTAGAGAGTGATGAGGTCTCTCCTAAGTTTACCCTTCTTCAGAGCCAACAAACCAGTTTCCTCAGATACTCATCATGAGGATTGTGTTCCAGACTCTTCAGCAGATCCATTGCTGTTCTCTGGACATGCTCCAGCACCTCCTTGTAATGAGGGGAGCAAAACTGAACACAGTATTGCAGGTGTGGCCCACCAATGCCAAGTTAAGAGACACTCAGTTCCCCAGATCCTGAAGCTTTAAGTAGCCCCCTTATAATATACAGTGTGATGTTTTAATGGTTTTCAGCATCTAATAAATCCTATGAACTCTGAATTAAAAACTGTGTTTCAACTTTCATTTTCAGTCAATGATTGAGACATTTAAAAAAATGAGTGAGATTTGAGACAGAAGAAGATCCCACAGATCTTCACACAAAGCCACATTCTTTGGCCTCAGCAACCATTAAAACTCTGGAAAAACATTTACTTAATAATATTTGTAAATGATACTTTACTAATTTAAGATGGTACTACTAGCTTCATCTTGTTATTACTGTCTGCTTGAAGGTAGCTTCTAAAACTCTCTCTGTAGAAGGAACTACTAGGGTGAAGGGACTCTAAATATTCTAGGCATTGGTGAAGGTGTTTGGCACTAAATTCTTAATTTTGACCAAAGGTGACCAGGAAATCCTCACAATTTCATAAATAGAAAGGCAATCACAGGACACCAGCTGACAATACTTTGAAAGCACAGCTAGATCTAGACCATAATCTTTAGAAGCAGCTACAGCTTTGCAGACTTAGAACGGTTTAGGGTAGCTACACCTTGTGACAGCTCTCTCTGACCCACATTTCAAATTTAAGCACTATGGGCAAAAAGAATTTAAAATCCTTTCAAGGATAAAATATCATAACAAAAGTTTTGGAAGTCAAAGAGATTTTCTGTAGTGACTATTTCTTTTAAGCCCAAGTTGGTTTTTTAACTTTGTTCATAGATATGAGATTTTTTTCTTTTTCATGTACCTGCTCACATGGTTGACAAGGCGTGTCTGTAAGAGCAGATCTCTTCCTGGCAGAAGATTATCACAAATTAGATGTTGATTGGACCGCACAGCTACTCCATGACAAACACAGAGAGAACACAAAACATCCAAAACCTGGAAAGAAAAAAATTCTTTTAATCTTAAATACTTTTTCATTATAATGTGTAATTATTTCAGGCAATGTAATGCTCTACACCTTGTTACTGGAAGACATGTAATGGCATGTAATTCATCCAACACAGTGGTTTTATTTTAGAACAATTCTGAAATTCTCCTAATGTTAAAACATTCTTCCCACTTCCCTCACAAATTGTTATGTATCAATGTCTTTGACTAAAAGAAGGTATTTCTCTTATGTCTCTCTGCTTCTTCCAACTGCTCATATACATTTTAGGATAAGTTTATTCCTCATTAAAACAGCATTATTATTATTAAACAAATAATAAATAAATAAACAAATAAATAAATATAATTAAATAAACAGTTTATTCCTCATTGAAATAGTATTAAAGTATTTGAAATTAACTTCCACACAGAAGAATGAGCTTGCTTTGTTCATCTAAATGTACTTGTTTAGTCTTTACCTACCTTATGGTTTCTTCCATGCTTGTCCAAAAGACAGATGATTGATTTAATATGTCCTTCCTTAATAATGTTTAGTGCTTCTGGGCTTTCTACCAACACACAATGTAAAACCTCTAGAATTCCTGGGGGGAGAAAAAAAAAGAATTACCTCATAGAAGTGCATATAAAGTCATAATACATATACTTAATCATATACATAAATAAGTTCCTAATCTGTTGCTCATGAACATGAAATAGTTTCAAAAATCATTGTATATGACAAACAAATAAAGCAGCAGTCATTACCATGAAGCATCATTAGCCTTGAAGTGTTTCTCTGCAATGGGGAAATGAAACAATCTCCCATGTGTACTGGACCAAATGAACACCCACTTTGGGAAAGAGAAATATTGTACATGTAGTTCATCATTATCAGTTGCTACAGTTGTGGTCTCAATAAGAAAAATCAAAGGGGCTGAAGGAAAGCTAAGAAGCAGCCTTAAATCTGGAGATATTAAATTCCTATTAGCAATGTACAGCTCTCATCATTCTGTGTTCAGCCCTTTATTCAAGCCACGTCTCCAAACACTCAGCTTAATCCTTGTAAAGCAAAATCCATAGCATGAGTCTTCTGCTCTTTGCCGTGCCCTTTCCATTCAAGGAAATTGTAGCACCACAAACTCCCCTTGATGTGGGAAAAATAGTGGTTTTGCCTGATGGTTCTGTCTCAGTGAGAGTACTCTGGCCTTTCTTTGATCCTAGTGAGGAAGAGAACATCAGCCACTACAGACAACCTACAGCACCACCACCATTTATCCCCATACTATTTAATGTTTTTTTTCCAGAGGTCTGAGGGACACAAGCTGTCATCACTAATAAAGAGTAGGGATTACTCAAGGACTGGAATGTAGAAAGGGTGGAAGACAACAGATACAGTGATAATTTGACTCATCCAGTAAACAGGTTTCAAATAAAACTTGTAGCTTAATATATTTGTAGACAAAATCATGCATATTTAAACAGAAAATGCAGGTAGATAATGAGCTAGAGGTGAACTCCCAAAGTGATTCTTAGCCCTGAAGGTTTAAGCTCAAGAAGCCCTAACTATAAGTAAAAGAACATACTAAACCTGAATTTGGCAGTGGTATGATCTGTATTGCAATAGATGTGCACTTCCATTATTCCACCATTCTATGATTCTATGAATACTGACAGTAACAATATTGCTAAAAAGGATGGAAACCTAAGAGTCAGGAGAGTCAGCTAAAAGAGCAGATGCTCTGTGGCAACATAGCAGTAGTACAGTCCATCCAGCCTGCCAACTAAACAAGGTCAAGGGCCACTGATCATGGGATAAGTACCTAGGGAGGTCAAAAAAGTGTTACAAAAACTTCCTTAATCTAGAGGGGTAATGTAGAACAAGATCAACAATTTTGTGTGTCCCAGTGATCTGAGAATGCCCAAAATTCATTACATTCAAAACATGGTAACTGGACATTTGCCACCTCTCATTGTAGCACTGAAACACACTTTATCAATATAAATAGTAATCCAGTATTAAATGACAACAAATAAATGTGGTAACCATATCCTTGGAATTTTCTATCGGTAGAGTCATAACCTCTTGTCTTAAAATAGTACAGGGTTCACTTTGTTGGCTTAACATTTTCAATAACATAATTAAAAATATTTTGAAGAGTAAACATTCAATAATAAATGCATATTATCAATTAGATCCTGCTGCCCCAGCACCTTCTTGAATTACTATAGCATCTTAATGCTGATTACCAAATATGTTTTGTTCCCTGTGTTTTAGAAAAATATGGCATATGAGTGAACTGCGTCTGTTCAGACTGATTACTTTTAGGTTGTGTGCAATAAAGACAACTAGACTTGTTCCAATTTCATTGAAGTTGCTCAAGACAGTAAAGCAGTAAGCATTTGAATTTAATACAATTAAACAGTATGATATGCAGAGTTCATGGTAAGGAGAGTGAAAATTTTCTTAATGACTAACAGATGAAAGAAAGCATTTATTTTCAGGACAATGTGTTGACTCCTCTAATGCCAAACTGTGGAATACAAAAATAAAATGCATTCATGCAGCAAGAACTCTGAATGCAGTAATATTGGCAATACTCATTTGCTCTGGGTTTCCTGCTAGGAACTAGACCATCACTCTTGCACTGTCTGAGCTCAGACCATGGCCCCTTTAGAGCTACACACCCCACACTTGCACAGTCAGAACAGGTTTCCTTGCCAGCTCAACCCTAAGTTTCTCATAGCAGAGTCTCAGATATCCCAATGCTTAAAATAATTTCATTGTGGTGCATGACTAACAAAATAACAACTCAAGCTGGGTCCTAGTAAGCACAGATCCTCAATTCAGCTGCTCAGAGCATGGTGCTAGTAACACCAGGTCTATGGGTTCAATCTCTATACAGACCATTTACTTAAGAGTTGGACTCAGTGATCCTTTTAGGCACCTTTCAACTCAGAACAGTCTGTGAGTCTGTGGGCACCTGGGCTTTTATACCCTTACTGTCTAAGCCTGAGGAAATCTGGGAGTCTTTGACTCTGGCCATGTCTCTGAGTGTCACCTACCTGGGTCAAAGGTTCCTGGGACCTTTGCTTTGCTAAAGCTCAGCAGTTCAAGGCTCCTCATCTCATCCAGAGCTCAACCAGCAGCTCAACTCCAGGCTGCAAACTGCACTGAATGTATTCCTCAACACTAAATTACTAACTTGCGGCATTCTATTTTTTTACCTATTTTTTAATGCCTTTAAAATTATAGTAGGGCTAGTTAATTCCATCTGGAATATATTTCAGAGTGAAAGACTAATCTAATCTTAATTTATGGAGTGAAGAGACAGCTGAAGCATTTGCATGGCAGCTCTGTGATATCTCACTTCTAAAATGGTCTACTGTCGGACATATTTCTACTTGGACAGATAATAATTTTCCTTCTTTTGCTTCAGTGAAGCTTGGGAAATGAATCAGTTTCTAATTTGTACAATCAATTCACAGTTGCTGTTTATGCATTTAATGCCTTGTTCTATTTTCATAACACTTTTAGTTCTAGGACAAGGAAAAAAAAGTGAAAACAGGAATTTTATAGATAATAGTTGGTAGCATAAAATCTTTATTGCAATACATTCAAGACAACACATGCAGGAGATGTAAGTGACAACTTTAACATTGAAGGTGAACTTAATGTTGGTGTGATTGACAGAACATGTTTTTTCCTCATAAACACTACCTTAGGAAAAAAAAAAAATCTTTTATGTGAATATATGTAACCAAGTATTCTTAGCATAATGGTTTAATATAAGCCAATATTTCTCCCTATTGAAGATCTACCACTATAAATTGAAACAGTGACTATCCTCAGCCCACCAAGCCAAATAAAGCTTAAAATCTGGCAAGCAAGCATCCCACATAAAATCACAAAATTACATTTACATACTAAAAGCTAAACCTACTGTGCCTCTCAAGATAACTAAAGCACAGCCAAATTAGCATCTTTTATAACTGACTCTCTCAAAACCAGAAAAAGTCCTTATTATAAAATCAGTTTTGGAGGCAACGTGGAAGATATGTTACCAATACGCACAGGGATGGAGTACAAGTGGCCTAGTTCCTAGCAAAAAACTCAGAACGAATGAGTATTGCAAATATTAGTACATTCAGAGTTCTTGCAGCATGCCAGGAGTTTCACTACCCAGAGCAACCGGTGTCAGAACACTCTGCAGTTTACAGAATGCATCTCATACCTCACTATGCTATCATAAACAACTAAGTTTTTAATTTTCAAATCTTACTGGTTTGAGATTAAATTTTAAAGATATATACACAGAAAACAGAAACCATGTAACACAGCATTTTTAGAGCTGTCATAAGAAATTTCATCATGAACCTCGAAAAGTTAAGAGATAGGTTTTGCATTATTTCTAAAAGCCCATACCCTGAGAGTTTCAGAGGTAAAATTAGGTCATTTAGAAAGATTTTTACCATTAAGATCTTGTGATATACATTGAAAATAAGCAGGTTGTAATCAAATCCCATCAAATGTATAATTGTGAGATCATTCTCCTTAAATTAATGCTGTCATACCTAAGGTGGAGCATAGTGGAAAAATAATTTCACTTATGATTTTGACATTTTTCAAATGCTTGTTTCAGTTTAAATTCAGTTACTCAAATGCTCAATAGAGCAAGGAGATGACAGCATCTAGAGAGGAGTTTCCCCAAATAATAATGTAAACCAACACAAACTACCTTCAGTTATGACATCAGTTTAGTTAGGATCATCAACCCGAGTGTGCCAGCTGCAATGACAGGATGATCTGCAAACCTCTAACTAGACACCCGTGCTGTAAGCAGCCATCTGAGTCACCAGCTGAGAAATGAAGCAGTGATACAGGAAAAGATTCCTATGTTCCTGTTGCCTCAACTCTTGAGCTGCTCAAGCATTCAGAGCATAAACATACCAGCCTGAAACAGATCAGGTGCATGCCAGAGTAGGAAGTAACCCTGCAGTAAAACAGGTCTCCTGCCCTAAGGCCATAGATTTCAACTAAAACACAAAACAAAACTCTGCAAAAGTACTTCCATAAAACATTGCTGTCTGGAGGGGCTCAGGTGAGAAAATGCTTCGAAATCTCTATACCAGTCTCAGCCCCAAGAATAACTGACTTTTGAACTCTCTGCTTGACCCAAGAGTTGACAAAGGGAAAAACCTGCAAGAGGAGAAGCATCAGTGTGTAACTGCTCTTTACAATGCTGCCAACCACCGCAGATCTTGTCAATCAGCCAGTGAATGCCGTGCCAGTTTACCCTCAGCTCTGAGAAGGAGAACACTCCTGCCACTGACATTTGACAATATTTTCCCATGTTGTCTGTCAGTTCATCTCAGGAACAGATTTATGGCAAATAAACAAAATGCCCATGAATGTTTAATGACAAAACTGAGGGGAACACAAACACCTCATTTACTACAGGACACATCTGTTCTCACAGCTGCTGCTGATCCATTGAATACAACCTAGGTAGGAAATTTATTAATATATGCCAAATGGTGTCCTGCACTGAGACAATTTCTAGAACCACATGGAATAATCAGCAATATCAGGTTATTTCTCATTTATTAATGCCACTGTAAAAGGCTGCGCTATGCCTGTGACTTTTTTTTTTTTTTTCCAAATGTTAACCAGTCTAATATAAAACAAAGAACTTTTGCAATGGGAGGACATATATCTTTCCTAGACTTTATATTTCCAAGACTCCTGAGCACACAATGAATCTGTGGGAGATATATGATTGAGGAATGGAAAGAATCATATGGAAAATTCAATTTCAGTTCCTGAGGAAAACTCTTTAATCAATCATTATGTTCATTCCAGCTAATGGAATAACACATGACACTAAACCAAGAAGATGATGGGAATAAGTTACAAATATGTAACTGGAGAGATACTACACTGTTATTGTAACTATATTTCCCATTGGCTTGACTATAAATCATCCTGCCCTTTGAACTTACTGTAGCATTACAACAAAGCAGTCTTGAAAGGCTCTCAAGAAGCCATCTTCCAAACAAATTGTAAAAAAAGTACTATAGTTAAAGCAAAACACTATCAACTGCTACTGAAAAATATTTCCTGTTAACTTTGGATACAAATTTACACCTCAGGAGCAAAAGAGGTGATTCAAAAGGAAATGTATATATTTTACATAGGTAAACAATGTTAGGAAAAATAAATTATATCCATTCCATATGACTTTTGTTATATTTAGTTTGTTGCAAATCCTGAAAAGCATGCAGACTTACAAAGAAAAGGGAAGATACTAGAATCAGAAAACAGCTTAATACAACATACACTGTTGAACACCTATTTTATCAGATGCATTGTTTGTCTGAATTAAAAGGTAACACTACATCCAATTGGTAAAGAAAAAGGCAAGACTGCCAGAACTTAAAGTAGAAGTACAACTGAAACCAGTATGTAAAAAATGTCACAAATATAAATCTCACTTTATTAACATAATTTACTCTCTCATAATAAGAACTCTATTATAATTAGGCTGAACAAGTATATCACCAACTTTAAAGAATTTAGAACTGGTCAAATAAAGAAGTTGAAATGCAAAAGAGCATACCAGAAGAGGCTTCCAGTCTTTCTAATCTGCTGATCAGCCAATCAAGAGATCCAGAAAACTGAGCACAGTTTTTACGATTTCCTCGAATCAGAGCGGCTATTGGGAAAAAGAGAGCAAGCAAGAGAAATTAAATCACAGTTACAAGTGCATTTAAATTGAAATAATTCCTGTCTTGTCAGAAAGGATCCAGTAAAATAGATAAGAGTCTTAACCTTTAATTATTGATGTTCTAGATTAAAATTTAAATAATATAAGTGATAGTTAGAATTCAGCATAATAAATACCTTTGGTATCAAATTGGCCTTTAGGGAATTTGAATTGTTTTGGCTCTGCAATCATCTCAGTAATCCCTACACAATGCTCTACAGGAAAAAGCCTGTACTTACACCACAGAAATCAGCTGCTACTATAGAAACAAGTTGCTGGAAAACAGTATTCTTGTATTGACAGAAAACATTGCAAAAGCAGAGGTTGAAGCCAACAACATAGGTGATGAATGCAAATTATTTTCTATTGTTACAATAGATCTGTTCAAGAGTAATAGGAAGTAATAAGAAGTAAAACAAGATGGATGTCTGAGAACTGTTTGCTATAATTTTGACAAGGATGTAGGGAGGAAGTAACTGCTTTGACTCTGTTTCACCCTCATGCTTTAAGCTGAGGATTGAAGTAGACTGAATCATGCACTGACTTGGTGGGTACAACTGAACTGATATCTCCCTGAACACTGCAGGCACCCACAAGCTTGCCCTGTCCTGGATTACGTGCATCTGCAGGTATGTGCATACACACAAGCTCTCAGAGAAGCATCTGCTCTAATCCAAGAGAGGACTGAGGCACAAAGATTTCTGTTTGGTGTGTGGAACAGCACGAACTGGCTTTCATGAGATTGTTTCCCAGTGCTGCCAACAAATTGTTTCAAACTGGAATTATTTCCACCAGCAGAGACTGTTGGTCCTGCTAAGAGGCAATGGCCTCTCAAAAATCTGCTTTGTTGTTGCACAAACTCACTGTATTATACTGCAACTATGTTTTTATGCTTTATTTATAAAGGTTAAACTTAGAGATTTACAACATAAATATGGCATGAAACTATCTGCAAAGAGGAAGAACAATACTGGAGCATTGACAGTTCTGTAACCTGGCAGTTTCCTCACCAGTTTTCTGATGAGGAAAATCAAACCCTCATAGCAAAACAAAACCCTTTTTCTTGCTATATTATATAATAAAAAAAAAAAATATGTACCCTGAAGTCTTACACCTTTGATTAATTGTGACCATAGTTATTTAAAAATACTTGGGTATCGTAAGAGGGGGAACACCTTGTTAAAACATACAGACTAGAAGCAAGGAACACCTGTTTCTGACAGTGACCTTTTTATTGGTTGTAGGCAAGCTACACAATCTCACTGTGCTTCAGGCAGGAACATAAAATGAAAGCAGTAACAGTTCAGAGCTTAACACATCACTAAATTTAACTTCATTAACAGTAATGAGACACAGATGGTTTCATAAATGCTGCTCAGCACAAGTTTCTGAAAGGTTAATATTCATTGGTTAAAGCTGTGCATTAAATGAGGCACTTTGACTCTTAAAACTGAAAACAAAAAATAGCATCTTACAGTTGCTTTTGTTATTGTCTACTACTCTGAACAAGACCAGCATTCAGTTTTAAAGAAATAAAGACCCTGATGTGGCCAGTCAGTCATTAACATCACATCACTGCATATACTCTTCCACATTATTCTGTAATGCAAAAGGGTCTAGTACAAGTTCACAATAAAGGTATGTATTTGTACTGGAGAAATGTTTAGAAGATAGATGTCAATTATTTCAGCTTGAAAGACAGTAGACTTAGATTGAATATAAGGAAGTATCTTTTTGCAATTGGGGCGCCTGGACTAGATAATCTTTAGTGGTCTCTTATAACACAAAGCATTCTAAGATTATATGATTTTTATATGTGGTAGTATCCAGCCGCAGCATCTATAAATGCCTTCATTCTCATCACAGTGAAATACAACACAACGTCAATGACATGACAAAAGACATGAATTCTGGCATCACAGTTTACTTTTATTTATGTGCAGACTCAAAAAAACAAAGTACTGTTTTGCTTAAGCAAGACTGAGCAAGCAATATCCATTTGTCATCCATGTAATTACTGTACAGATCCAGCATTATTCAGAACAGAGCAATGTACAAATTTATCATAGCCACATCAAAACCAGGCTTCCTAAGCATTAGCTGCCAGAAGATAATGCAGTTAGAGAAGTAACATCAGAGGGCAGGTGGGGCACAGAGACTGGGAAGTCAACAAAAGCTTGTGTGCTGTTCTCATCACTGCAAGTCTATGGAAGCAATACTTTGTACAAACAAACAAGCAGACTCTTCAGAACGAATTTTCTAGCTTTGCCAATTGGAAATCAAGCCATTACTTCCTCCAGTCTGCACTGTGCTTAATGCAACAAGAGATAAACTCAACCATAACAAAAAAAATTCAACTCTACCCTACATCTACGAACCACAGGACCACAGAATTTTATACTCCATCATCTACCATCTATACCCGAAAAGGTCGTCATTTGATTTCATGGACACATTTACTCTTTGGACCTAGTCTGGATACTTTTAAATGTTTATAATTCCTGATATAACTTCTTTAATTGATTATTAATACATCAAAAAGCTTCAAATGCAAAAATCTTGCTGGATTTATTAAATTTATAAAATTATTCTAAGCTTCTACACAGTGGAACTTCTTCTGTACTACAACAGATATGTACTTCTTTATTCTTTACTATTTTGAGCTAAAATTATCCAAGAATTCCATAATATGCCTTACCTAGCAATTCATACAAAGAATTCAGAATAGATTTCCATGCTTCTCCAGCTTCCTTCCCAGCTACATCTGCAAAGTGAGCTGCACTGCTGTATACATTCAAGCGATCAATACATTCAAGAACAAGGTTGATCATACCCTAAAAATAAAAAAGCTCATATCATCAAAGGAAAAAAACCCAATATTTTTAGATGCAAACGAGAAATATTTTCAGAAATCTAAGAAAACAAAACATGAAGGATAGGATATGCCAAACAGAAGGATATATGTGTGAAGTCAACAAGTATTGCCAATAAAAACTTTCCTTGATGGAGGTAGTAAGCATCTTACATTTAGGATGGTCAAATTAAAAAAAAAATATACAGTATTAATAACAAAATTTTTGGCAAGATTTTATTCTGGAGGACATTTGGGCATCTGATAAAGTACGGGCAACTATTATTACTGGAGAAATAACACATAATATTAATCAAAATGTGTAAAGAATGGTTAGTAAACTAAAATATCCTTCTACATCATGAGACTGTAACAGAAAAAAATAATTCACATGTAAGCAGAAAATAATGGGTATAGTTCCAGGCCATCTAATTTTATTATAAAAAGAAGTAAGGTTGTAAATGTATTTCTTCAAATATGCAGGAAAAACAGCAGATCTAGAGAGATTACGAATGTAGCAAATATTTTGGCTCTTATAAGATTAAAAAAAAACTACTACAAGCATAATCCATATTAGACATCAACAGTACAGATACTGTGAAAGAATACTTGCAGACAACGTAGTGGAAAATCAGGAGTAAAACTGAGAGAAGTACCTCTTCTTGGAAGAGGTTCTGGCGATTCTTCAGAGCTCTGAGCCTGTTTTGTTTGTTTTCATGCTCCAAATGTTCATCAGGGGGGTGAAAGTAGCCAATCAAGTCCTGTAGGCTCAGACTGACTGACTCGATAGGCAAATCAATGGTGGAAGACTTCACTTTCTTGCTGAGGGAATCAAGGCCCCTGCAAGAAGATGGAAAGTCTTCTGAGAATTGAAAATGAATTTCCTTTATCATTCAAACTCTTTATTTATTTAAAAGGAAAAATTGTTTGGGCGTCAAAGCTCGTTTTCTGACAGCAGCTTATCAAAAATACTTCATAACCACCCATTCTCCATTTAACAACCTAACTCTCCCTTCCCAAACAAAACCTGAAAACATAAAAAATGTTATTTCTGCTAAGTTTTTTTCAAATCCAAAAAACACATTTTAATATCCTACCTACGGATGTAGCAGTTTCAGAGGCAGAGCAGAAGATGAAGTTATTGCAAACTGGTACAAAGCATCATAAAACTGGAATGGACACAAGTTAAAGAGACCAGTCCTGCAGTGCTGAGGAAGGTCCAGATTGTCCATGGAGGCTCTCAAACACATCTCCAACCTATTCTTAAGCCCTTTTCAGTGTGGAAAGATGAAAAACTTCTACACACTGCCTCAGCACTTCATTAGCCCTTTTGTTTCCCTGATATCCAACTCAAGCTTGGTCTTGCTGAAATCTATGAACATTCTCACTCAGAAGTAAAGGGCTGACTGTTCTCATCCATGTTGCACCTGCCCCTTGCTCAGCTGAATCCATTTGCAAGTAATGCAAAGTTTCAAAAGGATAGCTACAAAAGTTATCTTTAAAACTCAATTTTATTGTGAACATGTTATCCAAAGCACAGTTTTTCTACTGACTGCATGAGGAAGAACTGTAACATACAGTTAAAAGAATAATTTTCATCCTCCTCAATTCAGCTTTTTTTTTTTTGAAGTAACATCTTGACAAACTAAACTGCTAAACACTGCCTTGGACTCCCTGTGCACACCACAAAAAATCTCCACTATAATTTAGCAATACCTTGATTTGTGAAACCTTATCATTAAATTGCCTCTGTCTTTATCTTTTATGGCATTCTTAGAAGGTTCTGTGAAGGTGTATTATTTACAAAGTGACCTAGGGCTTACATTTCTTTTGTATTTCAAATGTTACACTGTAGACAATTCTCCTGATGGGTGATTTTGTCCTGTTTTTTTTAAGTACCTTGTTATATGTTTTTAAACAAATTGACATGTCTGTGTCTTTGTCTGTGCCCTTATTTAGGACATGGTTGCTTCAGGTCACCATCTCCTACACTGTTTTTTTCTTGTAACAAATGAGTTCTTATGAAACTCTTATCAATCCATACAGCCTTACTGCATATCATTCTTTCTCTAATGCAAGCTACACTGATGTAAGGACTTTTCACCAATTACTAAAATCACACGCATTTGAGAATTAGCATTTTACCAGCATTATTTAGGAATAGGGAGATAAATGCAAATTGCATACATCTGACAGGATTTTTAAATGGCTAATTACTATAAAACACAACATAACATTAAAGAAACAAATAGCATTAAAAGGCAACACATAAGCAAAATGTAATGTGAGGTTAGAAAGCAAATATAATTTCAAAGAAAACTTGTTCTTGATACTATGGATTTCTTCAGTATATTTGTGATTTTTACAGATCTACAGTTATACAGTTATCTCACTCTTCCAGGTTTTTCAAGGAAGATCACCTTTAAAAACCATACTTAGAAAAGAAAAAGCTAATTTATGCACCACATGACTTATGGCAAATTTCAGCAAGGAAAAATCTCTTTCATGATTTGTTTGCATTTTCAGTCTGTTTCTGTATTTAAATCAAGACTGAGCAATAAATTTATGTTAGAAGACAGAAAAAAATTGACCAGTATCTGCCGAGGTTCTTATCTGCTGATAACACAAAGAATTAACATCAAGCCCAGTCTGAGAAGCATTGATCCTTTTTTTTCTGAAGGATAAAGTGATAAAAAGATCATTTTAAAAGCACACCTTATGAACCTGTTGAAAAGGAAGACTGTACTACGGATGACACGTGCTGTACGGGATTCTTCATTCTGAGATCTAGACAGTGTTAAACCATCATCCATGTGCCCTTCATGGTGCATTATTGCCTGAAAATAAAAGCAAGAAGCAGTCACTGCAAAATGAGACATTAAATGAGAAGTCTGAAAACTCAATTCCATGGTTTAGTTTCCCATGTCCAAGGACACACCTGTACTGAGTCAGTAGGTTTAGTGCCATAATAATCTCAAAGCCACAGCTTTTGTAAGCAACATACTTTATTTAAATAAAAATAAAATAAATAAAATATGAGGGGTTCTTATTCATTATTTGTTTTCATCAATATTAAAAACAGTTGCCTTATACAGCAGTAATTCCCTAAAGCAGACAAGGTCATAACCTGTTATTTATTATTGGTTCTCATTTCTAAGCATGTTACTGGCCTTTTCTGACTATGCTTTGAGTCATTTCCAGTACCTTACATTTTTCCATATCTAGTTCTCATGGCTCTGAAGGCATTCAATACAATTCACATAAATATTTTAAATTTTAAAATTTATTAAAAATAATATTTTAAATTTTAAGTATTTTAAATCTCTGCTCTGACTGTAGTTCTGTGTATTCTAAAATAGTCATGGAAAACACTACAGTGTTAAGTTGCAAAATAATCTTTTCCCTTCTTTATAATGCTGAGCTAGCATGCAGCTTGGCTGTGATTATTCTATAAATAAAGAAATCTCTCAGGACTCAAGATCTGAACATTCTAGCCCAAAAGGTAATACACTTATAATGTGGAAAAAAAATACTTTAAACTAAAAGCCTCCTCAATCCAAACTACATTGGAGAAACGAATCTTAGCATATTCTGTAAGTTGTTACTAATATTTTAGTTTGAAATCAAATATATCCAGATTTATCAATGCTTGTGATTTAATGTCTGCAGGCTAACACATGCGATTTTTCTGGCTTTCAGTTTGAGAATTCAGTACACCACTTAACTTTTCAATATGTGACTGAAAAAGACCCACTCTTTCATCTGGCAAGCATGCTTAAAATATTTGAAATTCAAAATATAGCTGTTCATATAGCTCCCTTCATTTCCTACCCCCCAGCCCTCACCAACCATATCAGACTGTGAGTGAATGGAATGCTTTCCTATTTACAGTCTTACCTTTCGCTGCAGAGAGCCCATCCTTACAGACTTTGCATCAGCAGACTGGTACGTGAGCCATAAGCCTGTATCTACGTGCTGTATGAAGCAGATTGAATCCCCATACTTTATTTCAGGTGCTCCCATTCCATCCACCTCTTTTCTTGTACCTATGTCCAACTTTTCCTGATAAAGAAAAAAATGTATACACGAACAATCATCAGTGTGTTAATATTTGTAAAAACAAATATTAGGAAATTATCCAGAACAGGACCTCAAAGAATATTTGAGGTCTTTCTTTAAAAATATTACTAAAAAAATGGGAAAGTGTAACTTTTAGTTAAAGAGAAATCCCATCCATGCAAAAACCTAGCCTGGTACACTTGAAAAGATGGGTGTATTCATGTCACCTGCATAGGAAAGAACTAGGATCATAACTGTGATTATTGAAACATAAAGAGTTTACCAAACAACCCCAGATACATTAACTCCCCTAGCTGAACCAGGCATTAACCTCCACAAGATTTTTCTCGGGCTTTTGTGTTTTTTATCGGGCCGGGAAAAGATGAGTTCCATCCAACAATCACTGAGAGATGGCCTTTAACCTGTCGCTGCCCAACAATGGGCTCAGTACTTCCTGAGAAAAGCAATCCATTTCTGCATGATTGGCCCGTGAGCTATTAATGGCAGGACAGCACATCATTCCAGCTGGCGTCCTGCAGGGGCAGAAGTTGTTTCAGGAGAGGAAATGTAGTATCCCGAACAGTACTAAAGTTTGTGGCTCTAATTTGAGGCATTTCCCCAACACCCAGTTCCCTTAAGCAGAAGTTACTTCTGAGCAGACTTGTGTGGTCAGACAGCTCATGCATCCTGCCTCATGGCAGATGATCCATTTAATCCCTCCAAAAACATACGTTTCAACTGACCAATGCCTTAACCAAGTACAGCTTCAGCATTCCAGGCTTCTCCTGATCAGCAGGAGATGACAAGCATCTTCCTGCTGATACTCAGAGTAATGTTACAAACAGTGAGACAAAAACAACTTCTTGTTCTAACTCTCTACAATCAAGAAAGATTAGAAAAATGATTACTTCATACACACGTGCCCCGACAATGTGGGAAGACAGTTTCACAGCAAAAGTTGAGAAAGACTGGGGTTTGAAGAGACAATAATCTCGTAACTTAGTAAAGGTTTGTTTTAAAGCATTTTTAAGTAAAGGGAAATGTCCTGTAACTAGATTTTCAGCCTAAAATCATGAATGCATTTTGAAGCATTGAAAAAAAAAATTCAGCAGAATGGAGGTGAAATTCTTCTGATTCCTTCCATTAACATTAATTTTTCAGATACACTGTACTCATGAATTCAGCTTGTTTTCTGATTGTTTCTGGATACAGAAACAGTTAATTTCACTACTTAGTTAATGACTTTGAGTGTTTCTTACATGCTGAAATTATTAAAATCTTGTCTACTGATACATAGTAATAACTGATTTATTAATTATCTGATGCCAATTAGAATTATTGTGTGCCTTTATTTCCTTATTAACATATTATTTTGTTCATATCATTTCTCTAAATGTTGTATTCAATTCTTTGAAAAGCTAGCACAAATAACTCAAATGTACTAACACCTAAAAACTGAAAAGCTACTTATAATATGACATGGCAAACAAATGAAGATACGAGGAAAAATAAATTAGATCCTGATTTCAAGCTCCAGTTTTTTTAATTCTCTTTATAACTAGAAGATACTGTGAACACATACTGTACTTCTACATTGTAAGATTTTCTTTTTTTCAGGTCTCACAATTAATTTCTGAAGATGTGAATAGAAGAATTCACAAATTTTCTCATAAAGCACTGTAAATAAGATGAGTATTTTTTGCATTCCTTGTTAAAGATGTACTGGCTGTAACAGAAAATGAAGTGGTTTGATACCAAAATGTTCATCCCAATTAGAATTAAATTTACTTGGCATAAAAACTGCAGTGCCAACAATTTGTCAAACAAGCTCTCTGTTCTCACAGATGTAAGTACACTAACAGTGTGCAATAAACATACTGTATGTATGTTTAAAGCTCAGATTTAAATCAATCTCATTAAAATGAGCTCTGTCCTGTAGAATAAACATAACAGCCAGGAAAGCAATTACAGTGTCAAATGCAGGAGAGAAATAGAGAACTAAAGAATGGTGTGGGGGCAGTAGGCATTACACCATTCATTTGAGAGTTTCAAGACATTGAGCTTTTTGTGGGAATTAACAGGAACCACAAATCCTTTAAAAAGGGGAAGATTTGAACGGAGTGCTCAGTTCACATCAATAAACAGCAGGTAGTTGAGAAAGAACATATAATGAATCTATGTCATTATCTACAGTACAATAGTTCATCAGTGAAAATGAAGACCTGAAAAATATCAGAAATCACCATGTCAATAATTAATAATGGTGCATTGGCACAGACATTACATGGTGCAAGTTTCCAGCCACACGCCTACCACACATGTAACCTGTCGTTACTGAACCATCTGCTGATTCTTCCTACAGCATTTTTACAAAGAAAACCTTCAGTTTTATTTGCAATCTAGACCCATTCTCAGATGACCAAGCTTGTCTGAACAAGGATCAAAAATCTTCATTTATTACACTGGACCAAAGAGCAACAAGTGGGTTTTGCAGCAGTCTGTAAACCATCTCAGTAACGCAAAACAAGAATGTATTGGAAATGAACAGGCTTACTGAACAATAGGCCAGATTTTCTCCAGAAGGCTGTTCTCTATAAACTGTGTTTATTCCACACACACAAGAACACAAGCCAATCTTCCCACTTTTGTTGTGGGCTAAATGAACAAAATCTTTTAAAATGGTTTCGTTCTAATGTTGAAAGATTATTCTGTAAGGCCTCACTTTAACCATTATTTCAGTCTAATGTTTCTGTTCAACTCCTTATACATTCCAAAATGGAGTGCCTTGATTAAGGCTTGTCCTTTCAACTTTTCCTCTTGTCATCTGACCTAACCCACACTCTCTGTGGCACTTTCAGGACTGATATTTTAAGACCTCACCAACTGTACGAAGCTAATTTATGGCTGTTTTTAAAGCAACATTAATATAAATTCCATAAAATTTTAGAAGAAAAAAAGAATAAAGAAAAAGCTGAAGATGTAAAAATACAAGACATAAAATTTTATTAAAATTGATGTATTTCTGTCCACTGGAAAAGACTCTGGGCAGGAAAAGCAGACTTGGTACAGAATGTACCAACATTTCTGAATTGGTAAAATTACCTTATTTCAGTGGGATAGTGATATAAAAACAATGTTCTTTATCAAAAAGAATCAATATTGAGTAAATGGAAGAGAAAAAAAAAAAAAATCCACAAAACGTGACCTCTCCAAACACAAGCCTATTAAAAGAGCCATATGTTTGGGAAATAAACTGCAGATATCTGTGGACATCCTGTGCTGAATAAAGCAGAACTACTAGAGAGAAAAAACATAAAAAAATAATTTTCCAAATTTCAGGTCCTTGAGAGGCTAATATACTTTGCCTTTAATGATAATTATTAAGGTAATATATGATAACCAGAGAAAAGAAGGCTTGTTACCAGAAAGAAAAATTAAGTGACAGTCAGGTCCTCAGCAAACCCGAATCTTCTGAGTACTATTTGGCAAAACTTTGTGATAGTTTCAAGATTTCACAAAAAAAACCCAAAATAAACAAACAAAAAAATAAAACCCTTCCGCTTTCTAGTTTTCTTCTGTGCTATTTTTTAAATGTAGTACTGGAAAGCTAATATATTTAAGTTGTTGAGCCCTTGCAAATAACAATGTGTAAAAAATAAATATTAAGCTTTTATATTTGCATGTGAATCTTCAGGTTTGTAGGGGATACATTTTCAGCACTATCTCATTAAACATGAAAGCCTCTTTTCATATAGAAATTGAAGTTATTATCCACTCACATGCTTGAAGGAACTGATCCTTTAACACTTTCCTCTCCCTTGTTTGTTTTTGCCTATTTAAAGCTAACTTAATACTGTGCAACAAGTGGGAGCTTCACAATTCTTCCCACTTCTTTCCAGCTACTGCAAGGAAGAATTTTGACTGTGGCAAAAAAGGGATGAAATTTCTATTAGAAAGACATAGCTACTTGGAACTATTAAGGTATATACACAGATATTAATGCTCTGTACTCAGTAAAGAAGATTAGGGGCCCCCTCTGCCTTATGAATAAACTTTTGGGGTGCTGAGTACATGCAACAGCATAAGTGAAAGTTTGGATGGTTTGTTCAAACATACTCAGAGGAAAAGAGACCCTATATCTGCATGCCTTCTCTAAAGAAGCCTTTCTAGAACTCCTACAATTTGAAATTTTTACTTTAATACTCTGTCCCAGGGAGGGAAGGCACCTCAAATTTTTTAATGCCAGTATCCTAATAAAGTGAAACACGACACTCCTGTAAGTCCAAAGGAGGTGACTGAATCACAGAACAGGTCAGGTTGGAAAGTACCACAGGGGTTCATCTGGTCCAAGTTCCTTGCTCAAGCAGGGTCATCCTGTAGCACATCACACACAGTTGTACCCAGACTTGATTCATCCTCAGCAAACCATATGCTCCTCCTCCCCTACGGTATCTCTACAATTCCCTCCAAGTATGTATTTCATTAAAATGGTTGTTGATTTCCACAACATTTACATCAAATATGATCTTCCACACTTCCAATTTCTTTGAAAATCCATATTTAAACAGCAGAAAATTATATTTGTCATGTGCAGATTGGCTTATATAACCCTCTTCAAATTCTCTCAATACTTCAGGAATTGATTACCATAAGTTTCTACCTGCCTCAAAGCTTTTTGTCTCTGCTCAGCACAGGATAGGTATGGCCACTAAAAACAAAATAAATGTTAACCTTTCATTTTGAGCATAGCAGAACAAAGCCATTTCAAAATATAAAACCTCAGAATAATTTCAAATGAGACTTCCAAATTCAGGCTGGAAAAAAAGAATAATAAGAAAAAACTTCAAATACAGCATCACCTAGTCTCCAAAATACAAATGCATATGCTACAGAGAAAATAGAGACAAACCATCTTATCCATATCAACAAGAGACATTCCTTATTGCTAAAAACTCTTGCCTTTGAGTATTTTTTTCACTAAATAAAGCATGTAACAGCTGAGCACACAACCCTTTTTGGAGCAATCCCTGCTGACAACCCATTTTGAAAATGAAGTGAGTGAATTATTCTATCCTAGTTTTCAAGCGCTGAAGTCCACACTAGCTGCTACAGGAAATCCCCAATATGGTTGCACTGCATTGTCCTAAAAAAATATTTAAGCATTTCTTTGACTTTTCTAATTGGTTTCAAAAAAGATTGTCTGGCTCTCAAAACCATCCCCAGAACTGCAGTCTTTGTTATCAAGGTGATAAAGTCTATATACCTGCTTTTGGATATATTTTCTTATCTTCCCAAGCAGGCAAATAATTAATGAGTATATATAAATAAAATGGTACAGGGAAGTTAATAAGTAATTCTTTTTACTGTTACTTTGTATCTTAGAAGACAGTTTTTTACAACAATAAAATTATTGTTGGAAAATTTTCAGACAAAATGCTTCATGTTATGAGAAATAAATATATTTAAGAATTTATCATAGTATTATTCTTAACTGTATACTCACTACAAAAGTACTGATTTAAACTCAAAATGATTATTGAAGCTGTCAAAATGAAAAGTCAAACTCTGGTAACTTCAGATTAGACTACAGCAAAGTATCTGCGGAGAGAAATCCTGAATTTCCAACATAATTTCAGAAACTCACATTATTACAAATTTTTCCTGTGTCAGACAACAGATACAAACAGTGAAGCAGCAGAGACGTTAACCAGAAAAACAAATCAAAAGTGAGTGTACTGCTCAAAAAGTGTACAAAAAAACCCTCAACCCAACCAATGAAACAACAAAAAAGCAACAAATTAACAAGGAAGAAAAGAAATAGAGAGAGAGCCAAGTAGCAATGCATACAGAAAATATGATAAAAGAAGCTTTCTAGTTATTGGTTATACTGCAGTTTGGAATTTTGATCAGTGAAAAGTAGAAGGCTCCAATAATTAATGCAATCACAACAAACAAAAAGTACCTAAATCTTGCTTTCTTAAGAGACTGGAATTATTACTAGTAATATTAATGCTGCACTGATTCCATACCTTAGAAGACCGAAAACAGAACGCTGTAGATTTTACATCTGCCTTCTCTTTGTCTGTAAGAAGTAGACTCTTGTCATCCAGGAGACTTAAATATTTTCCTGTTGTTATATGTCTTAGTCTGAATGGCTGTCCCCATCTAATGTGGCTGCCACTCCACCTAAGAGAGTCCATAAAAAAAACCTTTATTAAAAAAAAAATATTTTTTAACTACTGGCAATAATATTTGAAAGCAAAATATATTGCCAACTAGTTGCTAAAAAATATAAAATTCACATGTTGGAGTATCAGCAAGGAAGTGGCTACTTTGTGGTTATCCCCTACAAAACCATTCTAATAAATAATCTTAAGGTCTTCCTTTGCACCAGCTGCCTTTGTTCAGACTGAATTCCTCTTGAGAGAAGGTACAGACCGCCTACAGAAAAGGAGGCTTATGCTGTACACAAAGAGTTTAGATCTGCCAGTTCCCTCTCCAACATTTCATCTACCAGCAGCTGCCATTCTTCACTCTCCCAGAGATCTTTCTGCAGTCAGCAGATTTTAAGCGCACTTTAAATGTTGTGGAAAAATGCCTAAAAATTAAAAAAGAAAATTTCCTAAAATAAATTCATTAAGCAACATTCATTAAGCACAAAATGTCCCAGATTCTTCATATTCTATAGAAGGAAGAAAGGAAAAACTTAGATAAGTTCCCCAAATATTACTCAACTTGAAGTACAGGTCACAGGTTTCCAGCTTCTTGGCCTAAGCTGAAAATTCAGCCTGCTGCCTTTCCTGTTTAATTCCTGAAGATAAACTTATGGAGGGGTTACTAAGGAGACTGTACTTCACCAAGGCTTTCCAGACTGGAAAACTGTCACAACTAGGGTATTTTCCTGGTTTTCACAGAATTTTCTTCAGTCATATATCTGCAAAAGTTTGCAATTCAGATGTATGTGAATGCTGTATTTTGGAGAGGAAATCATGGATTTATTTTCTATATGTATTATGTTTTCGTATGTATCCACATGGAAGTCAGAAAATCCCTTAAGTCAGTACTTACACAGGTTTAAGTTAAAGTCCTTTTCATTTTCCCTGACACACAGATGTAGCAGGTTAAAACACTTAACACCAATACCCACTTGTTTAAATGCATCTTTTAGAGTTGGCCATACTGGGCGCAAAGTAAGCAAAACCAATTTGGCAAACATTTTCAAAGCTTCTGTTTTGTAACACGATGTATTAAACTTAAGTGATTAAACTTCTAAACCTTTTTAGTTACTGATTTTAAAGAGAACAGAAGAATAAAATGGTTTTCACCCTCCACTATTTTCTTTGGAAATCTAGAATCTCTCCTGTTTAAGTTGAGGGAGCTTTGGGGTAGAAGGAAATATGGAATCTTTGTATCTTAGAAACACATTTATCTTTTTCTGTCTTCTGCACAGAGAAGTCCATATACTCCACAAAAGGACATCTGAGTCCAGTGCTCTAGCATAACTTCTGTTTCTCTAGTCAGTAAAATGTCAGGTCATGAATCTGAGCTATTGTGTTGCTGAGTCTGGTAAAATACATCAGTTCTACACCTTTTATATTACAGGTCATGCTGGGGAGCTGCCTTTTCTCTTGTCTGATTCAATTTTCTTTTGGTCCCACTAGCTACAGACCATCAGTGTAAAAAAAAAAAAAAGTAGTGTAATTGAGCCATGCTTCTAGTTCATGCCTGCAGGATAGGAAAAATAGCAATTGTGCACTTACAAAAAAAAAAACCTTTTGAGCAGGAAGTATCATGTGAAGCCATTTCTGACTACTAAAAATATTTTTTGCAATGTGAGAGCATGAACTCTGCCACCTTTTGGGAAAGAAAGTAATGCTGAGAAATAGTATTTGGTGTCCTGTGGCAGGGCATCCCAAGGACATCTGTTCGTCTAGACTGCCCTGGTAATTTTTTATGAGAGTTCTTCACTAGCGAACAGAGTTGAAACAATAATTGTTCCTTTTAGAAAGATGTAAAATTCACATAGCATTATATCTGCAGTCAATCTGGAATGTGTACAACTGACTGAGAACTTCAAGCATGCATACACAAAGCTACAAATTGAAGCATTAGCATGAATATTAATAGACTGCAATTCAGCACTGAATGTATATAGCAATTAGAATATCATAAAGGAAAATAGGTTGGTGAGGGAAGTGTAGGACATAGTGCTATTTCTGGGATTTTATTTGGTTCTTTTTTTCCTGGTGGAAAATCCTATTTTCTAAAAAGAAAGATTACCATTCCCTTTGTAATAATTGTTTTGACAGTTCTTACCATTTCTTTCAGTTATATATGTTCAAATGTTTACCCTTGAAAAGTTTGTATGCAAAGCCTGTCAAAGTGGTATATATGATGGCCATAACAGAAACCTGTCATTACTTGGATCCCCATGTTGTTCCAGCACTGCTTATTAGGGAAGTAAATGCCATGGGGAAAACAAAAAGCCAGAGATCCTTTCACAGTTTCATTATTGTTGTCAACATCTCAAGGTCCATTTTAGTCCAAAGGAAAAATCTCACTGCCCTACCACTGACATTTAATGTCATCCTATTAATAAAAAGCACACAGAGAAAACAGCATCATTGGAGTGTAACCTTTTCATAAACTGCTCTGATTTAATCTCTAACAAGTAATCATTTATTCCTTACTAGAAACTTTATCACAAGCATGTATCATAATATGATTTAAATGCAGTTTTACACTACAACTACCTTAACAAACAAGGCACAATTCCTTACTATTACTCCAACACTTCCAATAATGCATGATTCCATTTTTTTATTTTAAATTTTTTATTTTAAAGTCTTCCAAGTGGTTTAAACAAGCTGGGGGAGGAGTGTCAGAGGTGATTTTTATTTTAAGGAAACGGATTCTGGTTTTGTCAGTGATGTGCTAAAAATGTAAATTGTGAATTCACTTACAGCTATAAAGACTTTAAAAAATCAAAACATACACTCTCTCTGTAGGAACTTGTCTAATATTTAATGAAAGTCATATAAAGTATTTTTAAAGGATGATTTATAATTATAATTTTGACTTTATCTGATTGCTCTTACTATAGAAAAGGTATCCTTCTTCTTCTGAGATAGATTTTACTTACGCAACTCTTAGAGTCTCTAGTCGCCAAAGGGAACGAGCATGAATGGACACAGCACCACCTTCATAATGGACAGTTCTGAAAACCAAGCAATGGCACAGACTCAATTTTCAGCAGAATTCATCATCATGTGTTTGTTTATTTAACCACACCTCTCATTTTATGATGGTCAAAACAATTATTGCATTTGTCAGATTCAAAGGTTACTAGATTCAAAATTCAGTCTTGTCAATTAAACCTTCAGACTTAGTTATTTAAATTTTTTTTAGTTGTGCTTAGCATCCATAATTGTGACTTTCATACTAACAAGTTTTACACAGCATTTGCTTAAACATTTTGCTTAGTGCTTTAAGGATAAAGAATCCAGAGGAAAAAACAGTATCAATAACCTGATAATTACAACATTTCTAGATTCTAAAAAAAAAAAAGCATCAAATAATGATTAATATTTAGGACCAATGCATGTATCTCCCAGGAAAGACAGTGTTTTCTCAGAGCTTATACTATTAAAGTAACTGCAACTTATTACACTGAATCTTGAAAATGTTCTTATTTAGCACTTTATTTTAACACGATAACACCTAAGATATCACATCAACCACACTGACACAGTCTTCACACATCTCAGATGTTAACAGCTTCCTATTAACAAATTTTTGTATATAATAACCTCTCTAACTTCTGCATATAACCAGAAATCTAAGTATTGCTAGAAAAACATCAATTAAGCCTAAAAAAGATAGATTTTTTTCTCTATTATTCTACACACAGATAAGTATGACCTGTAACAAAGACCTACAGTCACCAAAAGCCCTGAACAGATAACCCTGTTTGCTTCCAAGTAAACATTAAGCAAAGTTAGCATTGCCGTTCTAAATTTAGGGAGCCATTCTTTGGATTGTGTCCTGCCTGTGCCTGTATTTCTGACCTATGACATGGACAGAATTTAAAAGCCTAGGCCTTTCCTTTGGGAAAATACATAAAAGAGTCACTTATGCAAAGCAGTGCTGTCACTATGCTTATCAGATCAATCATGTCACGGGAGACTACCAAACAATGGCCTAGTTTTATAGAATCTGGAAGAGCTGATGGATTAAGTAAATATTGTGAACTTCAGTCAAGATCAGGCACCACCAAAAATAGCCAGCAGCAGAACTTTAGGGAATATTCATAACAAAATTGCAGGTATTCCCATTCTTTGCTAAAAGTAATTTTTGACAACTACAGATTTGGAATCTGAACATCCTACTTACTAGGCTTTAGCTTTCAAAGTCCTCCTGTGGATATAATACCAAAGGAATGAATGTTTAGCACAGTGGAAAATCCGGTATTGAAGGAATAGTTCAAAACCAAAAGAAATAAAATATATTTCTCAGTACTTTTAAGCATACATGAAACTATAGTGCTAAAATTCATCTTGGAATGTGGTAAAAAATATTATGGAAATAAACACTCCCAGACATTGCAAAAGAATGAAGGTGAATAATACAAGAGAAAAAAATAGTCCAAACACAAAATAAATACATCTCACTACAATTACAGAATCAGAAACACTGAACATTCACGACCCAGATACAAACAGAAACTCCAGCACATGTTCCACATAGCAAGAAGTTACAGGTGAATATAAATATGTACAATATTCACCCTTGACCTTGTATCCACTATTTTCTCCAAGTATTATCTCAGCCATTATCTCAGTGGTTTGTGATGCTAGGAGCAACTAGCAGGTATTAGCAAGTCTCTCAGTTTCCTCTCAGTGAAGGAAATGAAACTCAAAGACAATCTTATTTTTTATTGAAATTTACCTTTATTACTACAGTAAAATGAAATTGCTAAACAACCTTGAACTCAGCTATATCTCTGTTCAGATATTCTATCTGCACTTCAGTTATTTGCTCAAATTCTTCTTCTGCAGCTAACAGACCAAGACATGCTTTATGCAGAAACATCTCAAGAACAACAGAACAAATGTCAGCCTGGTTGGTTGTTTTGAGTGGGAGGGTGTGGGTTGTTTGTTTGGGCAGCTTGAGTGGGGGTTGTTGGCTTTTTTCAAAGTTGAAATATTCTGATTACATCCTGGCTTGTTACAGTATGAACCTCACTCACAAAAATGCATTTGGAATCCTCACACTTGCATATTACATAACATAAAATTAAATTTTATTCAGAAGTTTTCAAGTCATTAATTATATGAAAAGTCAGGTTGAAGCAAAGGTTTAAATTCATAATAGTGTTTCATTCTTAAATTGGTACCTTTTTACTTTCCAGGGATGAAGCTCTTTCTCACAATGGAATCTCCAAAGCTGTCAGTTTGGAGCTGCCAGTTTCTCAAATCGATTATTTTTTGAAGCTAGTTTTGGACTACACATAGCTGTTGGGTCAGTGTGACATTAAAGACCTAAAAAACCTCCCATCTTAAACTTAACAGAATGGCTTCTCATGGATGAAGTAATTTACACGTCTATCCATTATTTTCTTTTTCTCTTCCTTCAAAGGGGAACTATCAGCCTTAGAATGGTCATGTAAGATGAGAAAATGGGAAAGAGATAGAAGAAATCCTAAATAAAAACATATGACTTGTTTACTAGAGGAAATAAAAAGGATTCTAGGGTTTTCTGTTAGTTCCATATGCAGCAACAGAGGGAGTAAAGGCTAAAAGACAGTAATGGAACTTTAAAGATAAAAGTTAAAGAAGCAGAAGCTGAGACTCAGCAAAAGAAAAAGTTACAGCAATCTGGAGGGGGACTGAAAGAGAACTGGTGACTGGAGGGCTAGGGATCAAGGATCCCTACAGGGAAGCAAAAGGAGAAGCCTGAAAACTGGAATAAAAGATGAAGCAGCAGGACTTTGAAAGAACAGGAAAGAAGATACATGCTACAAAAAATAAGTTAGCACAAAGCATTAGAATAGGGTGTAAGCTCTTGTGGTTTTAACTAGATACTGTCCTTAGAAAAGATACTTTTCCTATAGAAAAGAAGATAAAGATGAATAAAATTATTTTTAATAAAAGACTTTTGCAATGAAGAGCAAGTCACTTTGCCTTTACCATAACAGCATGCATGCTGAGCATCATCCCAGAGCAGATGAATAAGTTCATAACCCAGACCATCTCAAAAGTTCTAATGCTAAGGAATTGAAAGTTCATTTTTACCTCTTTTCATTAAAATAAATGTAGTAAACTACTCTGAGATTGCTCAAACCAACTTCCTTAGTACTTGCTCTATATATCACTATTTGATGGGATGCACCTCATTTCTTTTTATATACTTCTGATGACAGTTCAGTGCTGAAAAGGAAGGATGATTCATAACATTTGAATCCTTCCAGAAGCTGACACTAGTAAGTCATATCAGGTACTGGTACTTTTAGGTCAAATGAAACATTGCTTTTAATGACATGATGCAATGCACAAAAATTCTCTAAGATTTCCTACAGATTTATATTGACAGGATGAAAAAAAATTGAGTTGCAAGGTGCAAAGAAGATGCACATTACTTTCCAAACAGCAGAGAAAACCTTCAGATTACAAAACCTAATTATGAAATTATGGGTAGTTTAAGTGCATAAGGAAAATACAAACAATTGCAGAAAAAGAGAGGACAAGAAGCTACAGTGAGTGTTAGTCTTCCTCAAAGCTCAGGATACCTTGTATCTTCAGAGCCATACCCATCATATTAATTTATGATAATTTTTTTTCCAATGCATTTTATCCATATATTCTACATTTATTGAGTAAGAATATTAACCACCTTTATTTCAAAATAAAATATCTATAAGCAATTCAGAATTTTAGAGACTTTTCAGTTAATCTTTATTATAAATCATCGTCTAGTTAATTAGTTGGTGTCATGAAGTAATTTTTTGTCTGACCTATGACTGTAAGTTAAATTTAAAACATAAATGACTGTGTCATTTATCTATTTAATTCGCCTTAATCCAAACTTGAGCTGGGACTGGACGCTGCATTTGTCTCCCTGTGTCCGGGTTGTGTGCAGCACCTCGGACAGCGCCACAGCCCCGGCGGGACCTGCTCCTGCTCTCCCCGGATCACTCACAGCCCCTTCCTCCAGCTTCCCAACAGAGGATGCAGGGGCAAAGAGACAGCAAACATCGAAAAGAAACCTCCATATCTGAATCTATCATCTTGAATTACAATAATGAATTCATTACACAGGTTTAAAATAGACTGCCACTTGTCAACCCCCCTGGAGAATCATTAATGAATTTATATTCTTATTAAAGTATTGTTCATCAGAGAGAGGGCAATTTCATGCCACTGAAACTCACTGACTAGAAATAGGAATTAAATGAAGTTAAAATCAATTACATTAAATGACAGTGTTTTGATACTGCTAAAGTAATCTTGGTTGAAGAACCCAAAATTCCTAAGTTCCACAGCAAGAATATAATGGAAATTATTAATTATTATTATTGATAATAATAATAATTTGTAATAATGGAAATTTAGTTGCTTAGAATTAGTCAGGGCAACATAAAGAACAATAAGGTACCTGGATCACACACAAATTAATACACCCAAATAAAATGTCAAAGTTCAAGTTAAAAAAAGTTTTCCACTCCTCTCAATGACAGACAAGGTTGGTTTTAGTTTGAAAAATCTGTCACTAAAGAGTTCTATGTATGTTTTAAAAATAATTTTTAAAAGTACAGCCATGATTATTCGAGGCTCAAAGGTTGTTTAGGGTGCAGGGGAAAGGTTATACTGACTTATGCTGATTGAAAACTTTCTGAGTTCACATTTCAATCATAACTCACGCCGCACACATGCCAGATCCCAAATTTTCTGAGGTACAACAGACCTCATTAGTTCATAATGCCATGAGAAAAAGTGTCAGAGAATGGCATGGAAAATAAAGAAGGAGCTGGGATCGGCTAAGTCATATTGATTTTGAGCATCACTTCAAAAGCCTGTCCATCCCTGAGACTAACACTAAGTGCTCAATGTAATTTACAAAAGCCTTAACATAGTAAGTTTCATCCAAAGTCTCAAAGGCAGGAATGGTAAAACTGCTTCTGAAATTAGGCTACATTTATCCATTCCCTCATGAAGGCCT